ATCCTGATGCTCCGGTCCAAAAGCCCCCAAATTATAAACCAAAAACAAAAAATATTACAATATTGTTTAGGATAAAAAAAATTGTCAGTAAGTCAACGATGCGATATCTATGCATTGATTATGTATTGGCGACGATCGTCACAATTTTTATGTTATTTTTACAAAACTGACACTGGTCCAATAATAATTGTATTCATTTGTTGCACAAAATATATTTCACAATTTTATGCTCTCATGCTTATTATGAATTAAAATATTTGTTGGAAATTATAAGTATTAGTACATTATTGCAGAGGCCGGGACGGATGGGAGTGGGCAATGGAAAAGTATGAGTTACAAGGACGAGCGTCAGCGAGATCTTGTATTGATATGAGTCAAGCAATCCCTGTTCCCGCCGAGCCATGTGTAGTATTTTTCTCAAACATCTCAAGATGTATAATAGAAAAAGTAAAAAAATATTAAATCATTTTAAAAGTAATATTTGACGTGTTAGGACATTTTATTATTGCTAGTAGTCTGCTGAACTTGTCATGATGTATTTGAATGTGTATCTATTAATGTATTTTCGTTACCATCTCCTCAATAACACATATTTTCGTGATCACCGTTCAAAAAAGACGAAAAAACAACAGAATATCAAAACACTTTAGTTTAAATATTACCGCCATTTTCGTTTTTTATATAAGCGGTACAGGTACAGGGTCAATAGTACGACACTTAAAATTTAAATCCAACTCTATGCCGCTTACGACACGAACGGTCCAAAGTACAAAGTGTCAAACTTGACGTGTACGTATTTTTAATTCTCGCAACTATGATCACTGGGCAGTTGGCAGTACGAGGTTTTCTTTTGCCTGTATACATAGTTCTTTATTATTCGATAGGTTTATTTTTTATTTTATTTTTCATTATTTAGGCACATCAACAGGTAATACATTATTACATTTTACAGATTAATTATATTCTAAGTCATGGTCCGATGTTATTACCCACTACAGATATGCACAACATTGGCTATAAGCGATAACAATATTCACTTAACACTAACGCAGGCTACTAACATCGAAAATTATAAAAATAAATAAAAAAAATTGATGATAAAATTAAAAAATGAAAAAATTAAAAACACAATCAACTCAAATTAACTCAAATTTGCCAGTTTACGCACAGTACTGCAAGACCCAGCGTCAATAAGACCTTCCGTGAAGTAGCACAGCAACTTACGTTTGAGTTGCGGTTGTGAGTCATGGAAAATGTCGATATTGACAGACGCGGTGAGGAAGTTGTATTCTAATAATATTTTGTTAGTTTAGTTAGGTTAGGTAAAGCTTATAGAAGTAGACAGTAACGGATTTTCATACTAACCCCCCGTTCACACGGCATTGCGCTGCACGTTTTTTGCAGTATTCGATGTGCGTTTGTATGTGCGTGCGTTTTTTTTGCAGGACAAACACCGTGTGAACAGTTCTATGTATATCTAATGTATGCACCACTGTTTATTCGGTTCGGATTTACACTGCAAAAAAACGCTCAGTACAATGCCGTGTGAACGGGGGGTTACCTTGCAGACCTTGGCCGGAAAGAATTTGCACGGTCCATAAATGACAAACTTTCCGTATTCGTTATTTGACAGTAATGCAAACATTTCCGACCATGTTTGAGAAAATACTAGATTGCCTATACATGCTCCTCGTCGTATGAAGTATAAATAAAATGTTTTTCTTTACCTACTACTTTCATGTCTCACGAAGGAAGATTAACGGTTACTATCGTCATTGATAGTATGAATTTAAAATAACAATTTCAAAAATAATAAATCAATAATTTAAATTGAAAAACCGGTTCTTCCAAATAACTTCAGTGTACAGGTAAACAGCTGGTAGAGTTTTTTTTTAAGAACACTTGAAGGTAAATCCTTATACTTACGTACCTAATACTGTATTATCGCTAAGTAAATGTGTCCTAATTTAATTGTCGGTAAAACAATCTAGAGCATAGACACACGAGTTGATTTGCAGTTGATACAAACTCAGCACGACCATTATAACAACCAACAGACCAACTAACTAGTCGACACGACTTATCTTGGTAGCAGTGAGCAGGTGGTATGACCACAGCCTTAAATTACGAAATGGTAGAGTCGTATGATATATAATAATAATAAAATATAATGGTAGAGGTAGGTTATTGAAACATTAACAACTTAGACTAACGGTAAAAATAACTATTGGAAGCCGATAAGGGTTGAGTCGGTAAGTCGAATTACGATCACAGAGCTTGTCTAGACAGTGACCGTATCTAAGTAGTGACCAGCAGATGTTAGAATTAATGTGCATTCAGAGTTACTGAACACGTCAGTACGTACTATAATTTAGAGATTCTATCAAGGCTAGAGCCGCCTCAAAGAATGATATCTGTATTAATGCCTCCGTTCAGATTAGATGTAGAGCGAACAGGTGGAGTTGGCACTGGCGTAGACCGTACCGTGATATTAGCGGCGCGATGAAAAAAAATCCTTTAAAGGAACATCTTTTTTAATTAATTCTTTTTACTTGGATAGAAGTCCTTTGACCCATGTCTTCGTTACATTATCGGGATCCTCAATTAACATTATGTTTTAACTTTCTCTTAAATAACTTAGGTCTCTTGTTTGGGTTTTATAAATAAGTTAAGTCTGTTAAGCGGCGGGACTCAATGTTTTTGTTTTCAATTTCAAATATATCAATCACATTATTGTAATTAGTGGAATTTTCTGGATAAAGTATTTTGTAATTTGATTTAAAATAAGGAATATAGTTCTAACTTTCTTCATCACTATTTCTTTCTTCGTATTTTCTTCATAATATACTTAAAATAAAAATATTTTTTGTAAAAACTGTACTTGTAACTTCAAAAGCCCGCCAACTTTCGAGAGCATCGATGAGAGGTGGTTACTAGAGTATTTCATTTGTCATAATATAGCAACCTGATAACAATGAAAGTATTTAAAATTTTTATTGAATTGATATTCAATTGTTTTTATGTGAAATTACTCCACTAGTTTGTTACAATAATTATAACAATGAAAATAATTAATGAATATAATAACTTTTGAGATTGAATATTTGTAGATAGTGCCGGCTATTCTTTTATTTTGTTTAGGATTACCGCCGTCTACCCATATTCGGAAGTGTTAATTTATAAATTAGTTAGTAACATACAACGCCATCTATTGACACGCATATATATTAACGTTTAGAAAAGAAAACAATTTTAGCTCGTGATCACTACTTTAATAACATTATAAGGAAAAAATACTGGCTTGTATTTAATATTAAAGATGAATTAATTGATATCCACGGTCTTTTACATAATATGAACTGCTTCTAGGCTATTCATCAGCGCCATCTAGTTGTAAGATAGAATTTTGACCTTTTTCAGAAGTACAATCTTTAGTATAGAGATTAGCAGGTCCTCTAGAGTTATTGATCCACGCCTGTATACATACCATCCACAGTTTTAATGAATAACTAAAAAATTCAATAATATTTTTTTATTGTATAAGATTTATTATAATTAATGATACAAAGACCGAACACAAAGAAAAATTTCTTCTTCGATCTGACAGGACTCGAAGCTTTCGAAGGTTCGAATAAATGAATTATCATAGTAGTTAGACAACGTGGTATTCAATATAATCAGTATAAGATTTAATTTCACGCGAATAAGGGATGATTCACATTAGACCGTGTCTTGCGCGAGCCGTGTCCGAAGCATCCGAGGCTCGTACGTGCCGCACCATCTTAAATTAGAATGAGTCAGTCAATAGGACGCGGTTTACGCTCGAATACGAACGTAGTGTTATATATATATATAGTGGTATATATCATATTATAAAGCACTGGGCAATTTCTTAGAACATAGTCACAGTCTTTAAAGTCGCACACTCGGACGGGCACTGGAGAGTGTTCATATTATAACGAGCCGAAGAGGGCCACGAACGCGGCAAGTTGTAATGTGAATCACTCTCCAGTGGGTCGTACGCACCACAGCATTTCCAATCCGAGCCTCGTACGTGTCTCGGCTCGCGCTCGACATGGTCTAATGTGAGTAGTTCTTTAGTTGTTTTTGGTGACATAAATGCCTTAACTTTTATGCAGTGGACAAGAAAGTCGCTTCATTTTATTAAAAAAAATTTACTCGAATCCCACTTTTTGACTTCATCAAAATTCTTTGTCTTGGGGATACCCAGAAGTATTCCGCTATGTTAGTATAAATGTGGTCCATTTTCCTCCACTATATTTTTGCATGAGAAATTCCAACTAGCTAAACTCTTACTTTGACATCTTTCACGATACAATATATTTAAACTTAACGTAATTGATTGTTTAAAAACGATTCGTAATGAGAATGAAATTTTTAAATTAAGATCACATTATTTTTGTTTTATTAGAGCTTGTTACACACGGCGACTTTTAGCAGCGATACAAACGCGATACAGTATCGACGCAGTCGCTAATCGTTTTCCTTTACACACACGCGCGATTTTAAGCAGAAATGCAAATGCGATGTAATCGCGCAACTACATCGATACAAACGCGCGATTGCATCGCTACACTTGTGATATAAAAGCGATTGCATTAATGCCATCGCGCGTTTGTATCGATGCAATCGCCTATAAATCGCAAGTGTAGCGATGCAATCGCGTTTTTCACGAACACGCGCTTGCATCGCTGCTAAAAGTCGTCGTGTTGAACCACTCTTAGATGTTAATTTTCGGAATTGCTGTATACGTACGTACGTCGTAAAGTTAGACATAATTATACTATATTTTTATTAGACAAGGCAAAGTACATAGGTTTCTCAGTGTCGATGTCCGTGGTATAAATACATAATTCAACTAAGTAGGTACATAAGTATTTCGCCCGAATGTATTACGTCTATATGTAATGAGTGTACATGATATATTTTATGATCCTTCCTGGGAAGATTTACAACTCTTTTTTTTTATAATATTTAAGGTGGTAGGCTACGGGCTGGCGATAGCAACGTTCGCGCTGCAAGAGCCCATGCGGTGGTTAACAGCAAAGTTGCATGGTGCTCCTCGATTACTCCTCGCAGATGTTTACAACCTGGTCTCGTTTATCGCCACAGTCAATATCTGGCGAGGAATGTGGGGACTGATGGATGAATACTGTTTCCCAGGTATGAAAATTATCCATCCATAATATACCATGCTATTGGGTATGAGAATCTTCGGAGATGATTTGGGTATACCTATAGCTACAATCTATTTTGTGAATCTAATGAAGCATTTACACCGGGTCGTCTGCCGATCTTCAGTAGACTACTTCGCCTGCCGAAGGCGACGCAGTTAATTCGCCATTTACACCGAGTCGTATACCGCCTTCGGTAGTTGCCGAAAGCGGCGCATCCAGTCGCTTCAGTCGACTTTGGCTGCAAACTACCGCCGTCAGACGACTTACTATTCACGTAGCTTGCCGCTTTCGACGACTTCGTGTAAATACGCCTCAACCTGTCGGCTACCGACAAAAGTCATGTAATTTTTAATTTATTGAACTTTGACTACGATCAACTACTACCATCAACTTAAAACTACATAAGTAACAATATAGAATATTTAAGTGAATGATCTAAATCTAAATATAATGTAGTAAATAATTATAAAAAAGAGAGTATAAAACAGCATTATGAGTGTAGTCGCGCGCTGCAATTGCATTAATGCAATTCCGTGTCTACCAGAGTTGTGACTCATCTTTTTGAACGCATATGAAAACACAAGTACTTACTTATGAAGTTAAGTTAAGTTGTTAATTTCTTAAAAAAATATGTAATATTTGTTATTTCCTTATTTCAGAGTCACCATACATCATCAGTTGGTGTTCTCACGTCCTAAGTATTCTAGTTCTTGTTGGGCTTAATTGCTTCAATACAGTACTTGTAAGAGGCGTCTACTTCGACGACGAGGAGCCAGCGGACGAAACTGTCGTTTTCCCCTGCCATTACTTCAGGATATATTACCACAGAAGAAAGATGAGAAAGAAGTTCAAACAAGCTATTGATGCTGAAAAAAACACACTGGCAGACTCGAACACGCCTTTGAAATTCGACGTACAAATCTAATGAGATTTGTCTATGACAAGGCGAAGTCCCGCCAAAACGCTCCAGAGCAAGTCAACAGCAATCCTTGAAGTGTGTTTATCTAGTACTTCACATGTGATAAGTCGATAGAAACTCGCGCAGCAGGTGCTACTGCTGAAAAACTGCAATTAATGATAAGATCTACCAATGTAATGTGTAGACATTGCCCGGTCATGATTGAAAGGATGTGTAATTAAAGCGATTATAAGTAAATAGTGTTGTAATTCTGTTTATTTCAAAAGTGGGAATCAACCTCGCTTTAATGTTTCATGCCTTCGTACGGTTTGCAGACATTAAATAAGTACTTTGAAGCCATGAAGCTAAAATCGAAATACCAATAAACTTATTATGTAAATTATTTTAAAAAGAATTACCTACTACAATATTCATTATTATTTAAATTTGCCAAATCATGACTGTTACATAATTAAAATTTAAAAAATATTTACAATAAGGGGATCCTCAATGTAGAAATTACTAAGCTTTTTGTTTGGGTGCCTGCTGGTCCCTTTAGCACATAGGTTCCCAAACATTTTGACGCACCGGGCGGTGCTTAGAGAAGACAAAAAAATTTCAACGACCACCACAAAAAATAATTCAAAACTCGTATTTTTTATATTAAGGCTCAACTCACACTAGCGCAGAGTCGAAGCGTAGAGTCGCGTCCTCGTTTTCAACTACAACGGTAGGCGACACGCGTCAGCGCGCGACGACACTCGCATTAGTGCGGCCGGATCACAGTGTGGTCGGTGTCTGACGCCTCACTGCGCTCAAGTGACGCGCGTTGACGCGCGAAGCCGCTCGACTGCATCCAAGCGTCGACGCCCGTTTCCATATTTGCATAACACAAATTCATACCTTAATAATGGGAAAATAGAGATGAATATACTATACGCGAAAAACATGACGCGTCGCGACGCTTCGACTCTGCGCCAGTGTGAGTTGAGCCTAACTTAACCCAAAAAATCACAAGGAAAAAATATGAAGTGTAGTTTCAGGTAAATAAGGTAAATCAGGTTTTTTTTCAATGCAGGACAGCATTAATGGCTTTCAATTGCTTCCGAGGCCCCTACCGACCTAGGACTCTTCAGCGCCCACTGGGGGCGGTAGGGACCACTTCGGCAAACCATTGGCATTTCGAGTTACGAATGCGTTTACAACCTCCCAGCTAGTGAGGTTGGTTCTTGTGGCGATACGGCGTATTATTTTGTCTGATATTTTTTTTCTGATTATTCTGTCTGCAAAGCGTTCCCCTCGTCTTCATAGCTCTCGCCGATGGCGGTCTTCACCACACAGAGAAATCCTGGCTTCATCAGAGAACAATACTCTTCTCCAGTCCTCTTGAGTCCATGTAACATGGTTTCTAGCGAAGTTAAGTATAGCAACTTTATGATCACGGAGTAATTTAGGGCCACGAGCTGTGCGATGACTGCGTATATTGGCAGCAAGAAGCCTCCTCATGACGCCCTATAGGCATTAGCCTGTGCAAATTATTATACTCCTCTCACTTCCTCAAGATTCTTCTTGAGGTCCACGTATGAAGCTTTGCGATTTCTCAGCGCCCAGCTTAGCAGGAAGCGGTCGTCTCGTGGTTGGGTGCATGGTTTTCTTCCAGAACCTGTTGACGGAATTCTTCTATTGACGGAACCAGTCTCTTAATATCGTTGCCAACACCTCTGAACTGTCGAACGACTCACATTCAGCCTCTGGGACACATAACATTGAGAATAATTCTCTTCAAGCAGCGCTTTAATTTTGCAAGCTATTATTGTTTTGTCAACCATTTTAGAGACCACTTAGTAATGGTACAATAACTTAAAATGATGAATGAAACAAGATAACTTATCAAAATTTATTTAAAAGTGATTAAGTAATTCATGTGAAGAATAATTTTCTTGTAGACAGGTTTCATCTCTTAAATTTGAATTTAGAACGAATGTTTTTACAAATGAGGACACTTAACTATCAAGCCAGTGACATTTTTGAATGAATGATACAAACAGAAATATCGAAGCTTTCAAATGATGGAATTATCGAACAGAGTGTATCTCCGTGGCGCGCCCAGGTACTTGTTGCTGGTGGAGGAGCCCATCGAAAGAGAATGGTCATCGACTACTCCAGAACAATCAATAAGTTTACATAAGTGATTTTACGATTTAGAATAACGCCATCCCAAGCCCCGTCGCTCCAGTCGAGTTCTCACCGTGTCCATGTTCTCACGAAACAGTCAACACTTTATACTCAGCGGCATCTCCGTCAAGCCTAGAAAAAGCCACAATAGCAATTACTATTAATAACACCCGTGTCGACGCGTTAATTGACACAGGAAGTTCAGTGAGTTTTATTGATAGAAGCATAGCTCGGATGATGAAGTTACAGCAACGTCCGTATAAGCATACTATTAATCTGGCGTCTCTAAGCCACACATCAACAGTCAACGGTGTATGTTTCGCTACGCTAGAAATATATATATATCATTATATATCATTTTATTCATTTCAGTGCATATTAAATGATACATGGAAACGAAATACCAATAGAAACTTGGCTTTAATTAACTAGAAACCAGCACACGTACAATAGATAGATTTAAAAATATTTGTATGACAGATACACTTCAACGATCACAGACAACACATACTGATAATTTAGGAAGCACAAAGGAGATTATATGTCAATGAATAAAACCTTTTTCGTATTGTAATTATTTCAGGCAGGAAAAAATTAAAGGTGCCCGTTTTTTTTTTGCAAATGAGTTTATTTTAATGAAATTAATTTTTTATTTGTTTTTACAAACAAACCATCGTCTCTGGCCGTTTTACCTTACACGAGAGTTGCTAAAGACAAGATCGGAAGACTTTATATTGCACTGACGAAACAAAGCGTTTCTACTCGCTTCAAAGATCTCTATTATGATTACGTTAAGTCTGACAAACGTCAGGATGCCTAAATTTAAATTATGTTAACCCTTAGAACTCTGAGTGCAAACTACCCCACCTCGAGTGCCCCTTCCTTCGTTGCGATTGTCTGCACAAGTACGTTTGTTGCGAAAAAACTATGATGTTCAAGTGCCTTTTAGTATTTACACCGCAATGTTGCGTAGAGATCATTCGTAGCATTTTTTAACCGACGTTAAATTGGAGGTCTCTGTCTTCGTTTATAATCAAATCGTCTGTATTTTTCTGTGTGTGCAGTTACGCGATAATATTAAATGTTACTCCAATATTTGACAACAAATTTTTGAAAGGGGTTACTAACACAAAATAATAGAACTAAGAAAGTACGACTCACGAATTTGACGAAAATATTCCTCAAGTGTCGCAAATTAGAGGATGAATTCGATTTATTAAATTATTTAAACTTCATATGCATATATATATATATATACCCAATAGCAGAAAAGAATAAAAGCTAATTGTATCATTTGACTTTCGAAACGCCATGTGGAAGTATCGTGAGCGACGGGTGACCCGCTAAAGGATCGAACTTATGATCGAATCATTTGACCCGATCACGTTACGCATGGGTCCAGGAAGCCTACTATGAAGCTCTTGCAGCAAACCTATTTTAGTCTGTAAGTTGGATTGCCTGTCAAATTCGTACTATGACCTCACAAAAACAATTCACTGTTCATGTAGTTTACGTTCCCCATTCGAAATCCGTTCACCTTTTCGTTCATAGCAAAATCGTATCATGACGTGCTATTTGCCATGCAAATGGCGGTCTCATCTGTAAAAACAAGCAATTCAAAAAAGTTCGTGACTAACTTTTTTGGATCTTGTTACATTTTTAAGAAATTTCGTTTAAGTTTTATTATATTTTCAGTTTCTTAATTATTTGTTATCTTTTTAGGCTATATAGCCAATTGTCAATAAATAAGTACTATTAACTATTGAGCGTTTTTTGAAAATTTTTGGTCGTGTTCCCAATCTTTAAAGTATTGTTAATACTCGTAAATTATTGGCATGAATGTATTGCAATTTTTAAATGGAATTTTAATCATTTTAATAATTTTATTGACTGAAAATCTTAAATAACTTTTAAATAGTGCCAATTTTGATTGTAATGCAATCAATGAAAATGTACGAATACAAGATACGTTCTAATTATGTTATTACATATATACGTACAAATTACAAACTCACCTTATTAATTTCAATGATAAGGACTAGACCTGACATGTAATTTTGTCGTGCGACAAATTGTAAAGTATGATTAGAAAGTTGCCAATATTACAAAACAACGTAGTAAGTATACCTAATTAATAATAAAAAAAATAAAAAATATATAATTATTCTCATTTTGAACACAATCGATTAATAGTGCTTGAACGTTCCCAGGGTAGTACATCTGTCTATTTCTTTCATATGATTTAGTATGTAGTTCCATCTCGCTCTTGTTAGATGTCAGCCAGCTAGCCAGAGACAATAATTAAAGTTTATAAAGTAAAATCCAGTCATGTCATTCCCATTCAACTTTATGTAGGTCATGATACGAATTTAAGCAATTCAGCTTTACCACGTCAAGTGAATTGCATGGAACTTGGCTGGCTGGTTATAAGCTCATAGTAGGCCCCCTGATTGACACAGGTTATCAAAAATGATCGACCGACACAAGTCTGATGTCGCGAGCAGTGTTGACAATTTACGGAGAATTCTCCAAATTGTGGGGAATTTCAACTCGATTGGGGATTTTGCGGGGATTGTGGGGAAAATAAATACATAATATGTATTTATTTTATGGCGGAAAATGTGGGGATTCTAACATTTTATTACCTTATTTAATGTATCAATTGCTGATATATTGTTTATATATTTAACTACCACTAGTTTGATGATTACTGATAAAAACACTATGATATATAAGATTTTGAACAATTGGCATAGGCGACACTGGCTGCGAGAGGCCGTTGGAAATAAAAAACTCCTAATTTTGAAATGTTGACAATCCCTGTTGACAGGAAACATGGTTTTTACGTAACCAGTTTGTGATCTAGTATTTCTTCCATTTCCGTTGATAAAAATATCACGCAGACATAAGATCGCAGTATTAATTATTACTACGTTTTATTTTATTTCTAATTTCCTTCATTCATAAATTTAGTAAAAAATTTTGTAGTAAGAATTCATTATTGTTAAAAACAAAATATTTTGCGAAACTTAAGTAGCATACATATTATGTAAATTTGAATGTTCTTTGGCAAATTAATAATTAGTATTTACATCATTAATTTTTGTAACTATAATTCAAAATAGAATAGGATGGTTTCGTAACTGGTTGATGATCTCTTTCAATGTACTCTGTGGCCGTGATCATTAGACCCGTAACCAGCCTAAAATTGTATTTGAAAATTTTATTATATTTGCAATTTAGATTCAAAAATATATACATATACTTATAAATATATAAAAAATATGTATAAATTAAAGTATTTGAATTTGAATTATAAATGTAAATAGTTACATTTCTAATGTGGAGTAATCGCGAAAGCGTAAGAAATGGATACATATTATATTTTGCCTCTTAAATTTTTGATATATTTTGTCTCTCGGGTGTAATGATAGAAATCTCTTTACACTACTAACAAACATATGCAACATGTTGTATAAATTCAGATATAACAATATACTATTATTTAATATACGTAATAACAAATATTTGAACACAGCCACCTTAAATTATGACTTAGAAAGATTCACTAAAAATTATATAAATTGTACATTAATTAATATTAAAGATCAAACGTCCTGGAACTCTATTGTATTCAAACTAAATGTAGAGATCGACTTTTTAAATTACAGGAGAGAGTTCATTGAGAGTGGCATTAAATTGCGTAAGTTACACAACTCTAAGCCTTCAGCTAACGTTAGTAATTTTTTTCGCCCGTAACGTAGACATTCAGAAACCGACTTGTTATCATCTTTGTCATAATATTCATGAACATTCGACATCTAAAACTCATTTTATTACAGACAATTTTATTATTTTTAATCAGAATATACAAGATCTTTGTAGTAAATTAGACCTTTTAGAGGTCACTTTTAAGGAATTATATGACGACGGCAATGAGGTTGATATAATATGCTTTAGTGAAACATTTGTAAAAAGAGGTTCGGAAACTAACATAAAAATTAGTAATTATAAATTAGCGGCAAGTTATTGTCGCGAAAACAGTAAAGGGGACACATGCATTTTAATACAAAGTATTTTAGATTTCAAACCCCTATCCTATCCTACCTATCGTGTCGAAATTGGCATCGAAACTATACTTTGAATGTTGTAGTGTGGAAATTGTAGGTATTGGTCTCATTGTAGTTAATATATATAGAATTCCGGATCATACAAAAACTTTCGTGGGTTTATTCCTACATAACTAAACACTTTACTCCACCATCTGTCCGTCAAATTCAAATATAAAAAAAATCGTTATTTGCGGTGATTGGAATATCAATATATTACAGGAAAATACAGCTACCAAATATCTTCAGAGCATTCTTCAAAACTATAACTTTAACATTCACATAAAATCACCAACTAGGTTAAACTCGTGTATCGACTTAATCGCCAGTAACATAAAATTAGTAAAAGCAGACGTTCACATTCTGGCTCTTTCTGACCACGAAACTGCACAAACGTTGACTTTGAGCAAAGGGAGGCAAAAAGCTATCACCACTTGGTACGAACAGCGGCGAGACCATAGAAATGAAAATATTCAGAAGTTCTGTGAATGCGTTTCAGCTCTTTCCTTTTCCGATATCTTAGGCTTAGACAATGTAATTCAGGCTTTCAACAACTTTTATGATTTAATACGTCTATTTTATGAACTATGTTTTCCAATTATCAGAGTTAAAATTAACAATAGGCCAAAAAAGCTGCTCTGGCTGACAAAAGGACTTAAAAAATGCTCCAAAACAAAACGATTACTATATTTGAAATACAGAGCGTCAAATATTAATAAACAGTTAAATACAAATAAATTTAAAATGTATAATAGTATCCTAAGAAAATGTATGTTAAAATCTCAGAAAATCAATAATAATCTTTATATCCACAATAATAAAAACAAATGTAAAGCGACATGAAATACCATTTCATCTACAATTACTAACAATACCTGTAAAAATGACATAAAACATATATGACATAACAATATGACATACTCAAACCCAGATGACATTTGTAATATTTTTAACAATTATTTTATAGATTTGACAAATAAAAATAACCTAACCCAACTTAACTTGACTAAAAACTGCATGACATATCCATCTAATTTATTGAATAAAAATTCCCATACAATATTTTTGGAACCGATAAATGAAACGGAAACTTATAACATAATTATGTCTTTAAAAGCACCAAATCCAGTGGCTATGAAGGTATAACAACTAAAATACTTAAAATGTGTGCCTCTTATATCTGTCATCCGCTTGCACATATTATAAATTTATCGTTTAGTGATGGTCTTTTTCCAGAACAGCTAAAAACTTCTGTTGTCAAATCCCTATATAAAAAAGGCGATAAGGAAAGCCCAAGTAACTATAGATCAATTACTTTAATCCCGACTCTATAATCGACTATCCAAATTATTTGAAAGGGCTCTGCATTCCAGAATAAATGCATTTTTAGAGAAACATAAAGTAATATATCACTCTCAATTCGGATTTAGAAAAGGTAGTTCTACAACTCTTGCATGTTTTGAGTTTTTGCGCATTGTAACGGAAAGTATAAACGTCTCTACTCCTGTAATGTCAGTCTTTCTAGATATGACTAAAGCCTTCGACTTTGTAAATCACTCAATACTCCTTTACAAGCTTGAAGCATACGGCATTAGAGGAACAGCCCAAAATTGGATAGCGAGCTACTTAAAAAATCGGACACAGTATACTGAAATAAGTAGATTAACAAAAAACAAACACAATAATAGATTAGAAAAATAATTTTTTAGATCACACCTTAAGACGACTAATGCTGGAATACCGCAAGGTAGCGTCTTGGGTCCGTTACTGTTCCTACTCTACATTAACGATCTCGCACATGCTATTGATCATAATTGTTTACAATTTGCTGACGATACAACTCTTATAATAAAATGCCAAAACAAAGCTACTTTTAACACTGACGTAAATAAAGCACTGACAGACGTAATAAGTTGGATGGACATCAATGACTTGAATATTAATATAAGTAAAACCAAAGTTATGACATTTAGATCTTACATCTCAAATCCCATACCGGTTAAAATTAATTACAACTCTGATACTGTAGATGAAGTAGACACATTTAACTTTCTTGGGTTAACAATGGACAAGAACCTTAACTGGAAGGAACACATCGAACAGATGTGCATGAACCTAAACAGATTTGTTTACGCTTTACGAAGGCTAAGGCAAACTGTCTCGCGAGAAGCTGCGTTGACGGCCTATCACGGCTACGTTTCGTCCGTGCTCAGCTACGGTCTTGTAGTATGGGGTAACTCAGTAATCTTAGAAAGAGCGTTTAAAATCCAGAAGAAGTGTATTCGAGCAATTTGCGGTGCGTGGTTCGATGACAGTTGCAAACCGTTGTTTAAAAGGCTGAACATATTACCTTTGCCATGCATGTACATTAGGGATATCTGCGTATTTGTCAACTCTCATCCTCAATATTTTAAAACACGCGGTGAAGTCATTCAAAGGCAAACTAGGGCAAAAATTATGAATCTCTTATACCAACCTCGTTGCCATAAAGTAATTTATAATAACTGCTTCAACATGTGTATAATTATTTACAATAAATTACCAAACGAAATTAAATTGTTACAAGGACATACTTTTAAATTAAAATTGACAAAATGGCTTTTGACACATTGCTTCTATAGTAATAAAGAATACTTAGAACTTAGAATAATAACGCATAGAAACCTAGTCCGCACACGCTAAGTGAGGCACGCCCAATGGGCCTACACGAGCGGGCGGGCCTTCAATGTTCAAGGTCAACATGCACCGCGGACAGTTCAAGAATTTTAGTTAAAAATGACGAAATGTGCTGTAAATGAGTGTAAAAATACGTCAGACAAACATAAAATAGATACTAACATCACATTCCACAAGGAAGTTACGCGTTTCAACTTGTATTTTTATATAAATATTCACTAAAACCGAAAATTAACCTACTACTAAAACTAGCCTACATGAATTTGATTTTTGCCTCACTTGTGACAGTTCGTTTGATATGAAACTATCATTCTTTGCGTGCTTATTCTAAGACTTAGAATTTACAAATTCATTACATTAATTAGAAACTATAGAGACTAAAGAAACATTGAATCCCATTAATATTTGCACATCTGCTTGCAGGTTGAATACAATGTACCTAATTTTACTTACGACCTTTGTAATTACTGTATTCTGGCAAATAAACATATTCTATTCTATTCTATTCTCTTGATCATTGTTTCTTTTTTAACTAAAGCTTTAATTTAAAAACAAAGTTTTAAATTATTATTGTCGTTGGCTCAAACGCATTCGTGAGAAGTCAACAAATTAAGAAAAAAAATGACGAATTTTCGTGTATTGTAGGTTTTCAATTGACAGTTTCCGCTGCAATACTACGTTACCGAATACCGATCTTTATGCACCGGTAATAAAGACTAATTTGGAAGTAAAAATTTGTATAGAGCGGATTGATCGCATAAAAAACTGATTGCTAGATCACGAAAGTTGTTTGTAATTTTTTTCCCAGATTGATTACGAGTTTATTTCGCTATATTTGCGGTCGTGTCTTCGGTGGTTGTCCTCGAGGGACATTTTTGCGGCGCGGTGCGCTGTACTTGTCTCGTTAAACCCTAATTAATTTCGCCGCTTAAGTCGAACAAGATACAATAAATACGCTATACAATTTAAATAAACAATTGTTTATAATTTTAAAAATGTCTTGTAAGAGTGGAGATCCATACTTAGATCTCGTTGTAAATACTTGGCTAAAACACGATAAGGTAATAATATTATTTTTTAACTGAAAATATATTTTTAATGGAGGATCTGTTGGATTATTTTCTAAAATTATAGTGCCTGTGGCAAATTTTACTTATAAATTTAGATTTAGAATAGTTTAACATCAGTGATTGACTAGGGAGGCGGATAGCACGTCAGACGCCGCACCCACATCTTGTCCGCCTAAAGTTAAGTGTGTTAATAGAAAAGTAATAGAACTAATTAGATTATTGCAAAATTCCCATTTAACATCGTCCTCACTTTGTAACTGGTTACTATTTCTTACTTTTTCTTATTACATCTGCCCAGTTCCTGCAATTTTTTTTTCATGTCTTCAATTCTCTCTTTCAATGGTGAAGTCTGCGATTCACTAGTTAACAGTCTTTATACACAATTGAAATTTCGAACTTATAATAACAATTACCCAGAATTAATGTATAATTCTGGATAATTTTTATTTTAAATAATCCGTTGTAGTTTTTGCATACAGTAGTTCTCAAAACATGTAGTTAAGTTTTACTGTAAACTAGTTCTTACCAAATAGTGCTAATTAATTTATGTGCTGTGTGGTGATTTGCCTTCCCACAAAATGGCATAAAATTTGATCCCGCTTTATAGGGGTGTGTTAAAAATATCATTTATTCAAAACAGAATCCAACAACCTACCAAGAAGTTTTGGACTACATAGAGAAATCACAATGGGGCAAGTTGAAGGAGATTATGCATGGCCGACAGAAGTTTGGCACAGCTGGACTTCGTGGGCGTATGGGTGCTGGCTACCGCTGCATGAATGATGTGGTGGTGCTACAGACTGCACAGGTGGGATATATTCTAGTACCAAGTACCAAGTACAACATTCATGTAGACTTTAGTTACCTATATAAAAAAAATATATTTAAAGGCTTTTTTTTTTTTATTGTGACTCGGCAAAATGACTGCACCGCGCCTGATGGAAAGTGCGAATACAGTCCAGAGATGAGAGTAACGGATGGAAAACACAAATATCTTCACTCCGTCACTATCATTTTGCCGGTCTGGCCAAATGCTTCTTCACACTACGTTTGAAGGACCCGATGTTATAGAGGGGAGAGAATACATGCGCCGGGAGTTTGATGGTTCGGCATAAAAACGAATTGCCAAACTTTTTTACTTGCGAACTGTTTTTGTTATATTGTTGGAATAACAGTACTGCTTAAATCTTTAATTTATCATCATATCAAACTTTTGCTAACTTATGATATATAAATATTTGTTAACTTAAACACAAGGTCCATGAAGCTGCTAATGATTATATAACCTGTATGTATGCTACAATATTTATTTATCTTGAGGGAGGTTACTTATCATTAATGTATTTTAATTTGTTATGTGTTCAAAACATGTACATACATTTAACTTTCAATTGTTTTATACTTGAGTTTTTATAATACTATATACCTAATAGAATTGTGCAAAATTGTTTTTTATAAATATTGTTTTATTTTGGTACAGGGACTCTGCTCGTACCTTCAAAAGGAATGTAGTCAAAGTCAACTACAAAATGGCATTGTAGTGGGATATGATGGGCGATACAGTAGCAAACGGTAAGCTAAATATTTTATGTACATGATTTACCATTGTATTGGTGAATCATTATTGTTATTCTTATGCCTATCCTACATCACTGCAACTGACAATTTTATTTAATGTGATCATCGCTAGTTACAGTTCAAAGCCATATTAATGAAAATTAAATTAAACAAGCAAATTAGACAGTCGAATTTTCTTAGCACATATTTACATAGGATTAGGGCAAATATATGCCCAGAAGTGAGTTTCCTACGCCGAAAATCTTACCAAAGTCAACACACAGTCTCCCGTAAAGACAGTGCAAAAAAGCATATGCACTGATAAATGCTAGATCTAGCTTTCTTCTGTATAATAACTTGAAAGGTAGACAGATTCAGTATAACATTCAGAGGCGTCCGAGGTGAAGTGGACATAGTGCTTGTTGTTGTAGGCTTGCCATATACTGTATTGTATACTAGCAATAATACAACTAACACGGTCGTTATAAGCATTTGTTGACTTTTGCACTCCAGAAAACGGAGGTAACATAGTAATGTATACTATCGGCCTTATGATTCTTTATTGCCTTTATTTTTATTATTAATTATATAATATAAAATTAATATACACTATTGTTGATTTTTTTCACATTTGTTAATATTATTATGCTTTATATGCACCATGTGGAAACAGTGTTAGGGGCAATGGGGAATATCTTCTCTATTCCGTACAGCAGGAATGAACTTTAGCGAGATTGGTCTAAGGAGCCTAGTTAGTGATGAGTTGTCCAATATATTCAATGCCTCTTGCGATTTCTTAGTCGTCATCCCCCGCGCCCCTGTGGCGTTGGAAGCGAAGACTGGCTTGTGCGGCCTACGATAGCTACCCATAATATTATACTTTACAAATAGATTTCATGATTCTATCCTAAGGTTGAAAAAGATATTGCTTCTAAACAATAAGACGTTTTATGCCTTTTATTTGCTATTGTTCACCATTGTTTACGAAATTTGAAAATTGACGTGTAATAAAGGGTAAAAATTAAATAGATAATTATCGTAGATATATATGTTAATAACCGTAATTGTACACAAGCACTGAACTTTCTTTTTAATTCTCAATAAAAAATTACGTACATGTAAAACTCGCCGTAAAATTACTAACTCAATAAATAAGAGCTGCTTGACTGCATAGTTTTCTTATCAGCATTGATTTCCTAAAAAAATATTGTATGCGTGATGTTCCTGGTATATCCTTGACCAAGTTGCGATAATAGGATCAAATTGTTGTGATTCAAAATCAAGGTTTTTGAAAAACATATTTATCGTAATAAATTAATTTAAGGCCTTATATTCCCGTCCTGATTCTGACAAACTTCTCTTTCTTCATTTATATTCATCATTCTCTTCATACAGGCACTGTTATACTCCAGCCTTTTTAAGGACACTCCATTTATGAGTGTACTTATGTATGTTGAGTGTGTGCGTTATTATTATTTGATCAGAGAATGTTCTTCATGGCCATGCCCTTCTAATGATGCCTTCCACGTTAGCTCTTTATATTTCTTTCATTAATCTATATTCATTCATCTGCAAAATATGCCCAAACCACCTCAACAAATTATTTTCTATTTCTTTTACTACATCCTCTTTCAAACCATAACTACTTGAAACGCAAATTTCTATATTTTTGCCTTATGCATTATTATTTGCTTGCAGTTCCCATAAGTCGTGCATCCCCTGCGTAACCAGACTTAACTGGTCACCCTGTATGTTTTTTCCTTATCATCACGTAACTATAGCAGGATAAGGAAGGTTATCTACACAGTCATTGGACAGTAAAGTGTTGTTTAGGACTATTTAACGTATGAAGTACGCAAAATCGTGACTGTTGAATAATCATAGACCATTATAGAACATTGAACACAGTCAAGATAGTTTTTCTAAACATCTTGTTCTAACAAAAATTACCACTTTTCTTATGTTGTTATATTTGTATTTATATTGCCAAGTTTCATCACAACTGACAACTGATCTATGTACGTGTGATCTATTTACTAACAAATCGTTTTTGCCGTCGCAATAAGGCTTTATTTTCTGTCTGTAAATAACAAATAAAATTATCAATCTTATTTTACTCACTTTCATGTGAAAAGACTAATATTCTATTTTCGCCACTTTCAATTTTCCTTTTTATGATCCTAAGTGTAGGGATGAACAGTTCGTGCGCCTGGTGGTAAGCGACACGCCTGTCCATAGCAAATACAGCGCCACTCAGAGCTTTAAATCGCAAAGATTTGAGGAGCACCGTGCGCGTCACCCCGAGACATAAGTTGACAAGTCCCATGTGACTGTAATTTTACCAGCACCCTTACCCTTCAAAATTACTACTGCTTGGAGGCAGAAATAGGTAAGGTGGCGGTACTTCCCTGGACGAGCTCGTTATGATATTACGTTCTTAAACTCGCTTGACATGACAGTCTTAAACAGACATTTATAAACGTATTATCACTGAAAAAAATGTTTAATAAACGGGTTCGGAAAATTCTAAGTTGTCCTCAAATACTCTAGTAAAGTAAATCCTAGAGCAATGTCAATAATTGCGTATGTTTTATGACGTGTTTTTCCATAAGTGTAGCTATTTAGAACCGACTCACAATGAGTTCTAAATGCAATCTAAACAACAATACCGACTATTAAGCAGTGAAAATGACTGTGTTATTTAAAATATGACTTTTGGTACAGAAGAAAATAAATAAGCGGTTGCGCACATGGTAGTAATTACTAATACATAGAATACGAATACACAGTTTCTACGTTGTTAGTTTTTATACTAATACTTTATATTTTAACTTTTTATATCATAGTACAGGAAATACAATGAACTATCGACTGAGTTAAGATAGGCATTGTCGATTTTCACTATCAATATTCCTAATGTACAAATCAAATAAAAGTATAGGAATGAGGCTCAGGGCAAATCGGCGGACGGAAAGGCAGAGGACATTAAATTTATCATTGTATATTTTATGCTATTCCAATTGTAACAAGGTATAAATTGCAATGCTCTAGGGACCAACCTCAGAGCATCGCAATTTGTGGTCTCATTGACCAAAACACTGAATGGGGTCTACTCCGTTCTCTGTCCGACATAATTACTGTCAAATACGTAATACTCGGTAAAGTCAAAAGACTTCTTTATAAAAAATAAGTGCGCAGTTATCCTCCATCTCACCTGATGGAAAGTGATGGTGAGGTCGACGATGTAGCATGCACACTTAAATAATGCCTGAATAGTCATTATTTAAGTGTGCATGCCTCTCGCCTTGAAAAGGCCCAAGTTATAGCGTTCGGGGAACAAGTTTGCAGGTAGGGAATTCCACTCTCTAGCCGCTCGTCATATAAATGTGGAAGCGAAACGCTTCGTGCGAATCCTGGGAATATCCACAACATAGGGATAGAACCCCAGGTCTAGTCCCCCGATGATGGAAAGGGGAAGGCGGATCAAATTATGCCATTCCATCGCACTCTCCGTGATTTAACCTATAGAATACTGATAAGCAGGCAACTTTACGGCGGTGTTAAAGGCTCTGCAGCTTCGCCTCTATTAATTTCGAGTCACCTATAAGCCTCTTGGTAAGTTGAATCGATTCGATTCAATCCAAGCTGGCCAGTTGGTATTTAGCCAGAGCCATCCCATAAGTGGCAGCAGTACTCCATACACGACCGGACTTGTGCATGGTATAGCTGAAGCAACTGTCCCGGTGTGAAGTTATGCTTCACCTTGGAAAGGATGCCAAGCATCTTGGCTGCATTTTTGGCCATGGATTCAATGTATCTGCCGCAGTTCAGATTGGACGACAGGTCCATTCCAAGTAGCTGGAGACGGTCGGCTATCAAATGAACAATGTCAAATATGAAGCTTCATTCGCATTATGCGTCTTTTAACTTAATCGATTATTAACATTGAACAGTTTTCCAAATTCTCACAGGACATTGGCGAAATCGCCATATTTTTTGTATAATTTTTATAATAATACTAAACTACCGTACATAGTTATTTTTACTTGACATTGGCAAAATCATTGATTATTTCGATGGAGCCATAACATTTAAAAGAAGAAGAAGAACTTAGTTGTCAGTAATTGTTTCGGACCGACGTCAGACGGAGAACTGTATTAGATCCCAGAGCAGAGGTTAATTGTAGTGGTTTGTTGAAAAGCATTGTTTTCTGAAATTGCGAAATATTTGTTTGTTGACTCCGAATAATAATTTTCGTCCATAGATTTGCCGAACTGACTGCGAAAGTATTTATAACAGCAAACATCCCCGTGAACATATTCTCAGTTGTATGTCCTACACCATTCGTGTCATTTGCAACGATTCTATACGAGGCCGCAGCCGGCGTTATGGTGACGGCATCTCACAACCCCAAGGAGGATAATGGTTACAAAGTATATTGGGGAAATGGATCCCAGATCATCACGCCACACGATGATGAAATTCTCGACGAGATACTGCATTGCTTAGAGTGAGTACCTACTAGTTGTATTTTGTTTTTTAAAGTACACTTCCTGAACCGCAAAAATATATTGTAGATATTTAAAATGTAAATTGATAGTTGAAATATTTTACGTTAACATTAAAGTTAATGTATATTTGCATGCTATAACCAGCTTGGTGTGAGAAACTATTATTATAAATATGTATATTACATCTCTGTAACCACACTTACTGCACATAAATGTATCATTTAAATTAATATACATTCGGAGGGAAGTTGCAGTACCGAGTGTATAAATAAATAAATATTGGAAAACATCACACATGTTTTTTTGGAAATCTAAAACAACTACGTTACCACAAAAACCCAGAACCGAGACAATATAGGAAAAGCCAGTTTTTCTACATTGTCCCCGTCAGTTATCGAATCCGGGACCTCAGAGATGGCGATACCATGAAAACTGGTATGCAAGTCACTCGACCACGAATGTAGTCCATCATCATATTTGATGTATACCACGGAGTTGTACATCAACATTGTGTGACAAATAGTACTGTAATTATAATAAATTCTATAATTTTTTTCATGAAATAGACTAAGACTTGTCAATTTTTGGGAGAGGACACGGAGTCAGGGATGTCATTATTATGTTGTAAACTATTTTGTGAAATAAACATTATTATTAAACATTGTTATAATAAGGGTGCACATTACGATACGACTTTTATGAAAATCGACTAAAGTGCATACGATCTAACGATTATATGTCTCGATTTTATTTCAATGTGATTTTCAAGTGAATCGAGTCAATAGCAAATCGAAACATTTTTAAAAGTATAATTAAAAAAAATTGAGGTCAACGGTCATGATGTATCTGAATGAGTAGTCAACCCCATTTCACTTTAACTATCTTAAAAACAGTTATATCTCTTAACCGTTCACGAGCTCTCCTCAAAATGATCGGTTTAAAAATAGATATTTAATGCTCGAAAGTCAATTGTCGCATTCGTTAAACAAATAACGATTATATAATACGGGTTAAGGTCGAACATACACTGATAATTTTATCCGTCCGTCATTTGACGGACGAGATATTGCACTAATTACTATTACGTTAGTGTTATAAAGATTATTTGAATTAGTAGTATGACTAACGTGACCATACGTCCCGCTTTTAGGCTTCGTGTCCCGCTGTCCCCGAAATACCTAAAAATATCCCGCTATAGAAAATAGAACGCACGTAACAATAAATATTAAAAAAAATAATAGAGCCGGCCAACCAGACATCGAGCACCAGACTACAGAAGATACGTAATTTTTTTTAAATTTTGATACATTAACCAATTTATATCTTTTTTATCATTAACCATTTCTTAGCTATCATAAACATGTCTTTTATTTTTAAAACAACAATTTTTACAGGCGTCCCGCTCTGAGGGGAAAAAATAGCGGTCACGTTAAGTATATGGAGTAAGGAATAACGATACGGCTTTAGATATTTGGGAACAGCTCATTACAGTACAAGCCGTCGTAGCCTAATTGGTTTGACTTACTTTTACTAATTTTTCCGATGAAGGAAAACATCGTGATGAAACTTGCACGTCGAAGAAGGTTCACAACCCTCGCAAAACGTGTGAAGTCCCCAACCCGCATTGGGCTAGCGTTGCGGACTATGGTCTTAACTCGCCTGAGAGGAGACCCGTGCCCAGCAGCGGGACGTGGAAATGTATTGATGATGGTGATGATAAACTAAAATAAGTCTTTATCAGAATTCCAGATGATCACTGGAACATAGACGAAATCAGATCCCACGAGCTTGTAAAAGATTGTCAAAAAGAAGTAACATCCAAATATATGGAATATATCCATGAAATTTTACCGCAGAAGCTTCTAGATGTAAATAAGAAGGCCAACATCGATACCATATACAGTGCCATGCATGGAGTGGGCTATAATTATGTAGTAGAAGCATTTGAAACCGCCAACTTGAAGGTGAGATTCAATCAATACTTACGTGTGTTTAAGGATATAGTTTTGGATCAAATAACGTATTCATATTCATTTATTTGCATTTCACATGAAGGATACAGAGTATACAATACATATTTGGTACATTCATGTGATGCCTTGTAAGTTAGTCGTGTTTTGAATGTTATATATTGTATTGTATAGTTATTTGTGTAAATTATACAAGGCGTCTCACGGCTATGTCACACGGAGCGAAAGTACCTTAATACCGTAGTTAGAATTTTATTTATTTTAATTAAAACCCAAGTGCGCATTTGACTTCCATCTCACCTAATGGAAAGTGACGATGGAGCATGCACACCTGAATAATGCCTGTTCACTCTCGTTTTGAAAAGGTCTAAGATGTAACGTTCAGGAAACAAGTCTGCAGGCAGGGAATTCTACTCCATAGTCGTTCGCCATATAAATGTGGAAGCGAAGCGCTCGTGATATGTCCTGTAGAATCCCGATAAGCAGGCAACTTTACGACGGTGTTCAAGGCTTTGCAGCTTCGCCTCTACGAATTCTGAGTCACCTATACAAGCCTCTTGACACGCTTGTCAATTAAATCCAAGGTGGCCATTTTGCTGAAAGAAGATTTCATTTTTATTTTGAAAATTATTTGAACTGCATTTAAAGATTTTTAAATAATCGCCTGTCTGAACCGGGAATCCAACCCGTCAAATGTGAAAAAAAAAACACCTGTAATTTTACTTCTAATTTTTGAACCGATCTTCATAAAAATCGAATCGTAATGTATCCCTATGCCTAATGGCGTTAAGTTCGCCATTTGCACTGTTTTGTGTACAATAAAGGTTAAATAAGAAAATGAGTGAATGAAATGAGTGAATCGTCGTCGCCTGGTGGTAAGCCACACTGGCATAACAGTTGCAAAACGACTTAAAGATTTAGATCGTAAAGATCTGGAGGTCTACCCTCGTTCTCTGTCCGACATCCATCCGAAACAATTACTGTAAAATATACTATAATACTCTACCAAATTAAAAAGCATTTCAAGTGTGAAGCTTCATTCGCATTGTCGCGTCCAGCCTCCAAAGATGACCAATGTCCAGCTTCCATGGATGACCTGACAGGCCACAAAGCCAGAGTTATTAGACTGACAGGAATTCAAAATTAGACCGACTTTCTTTGGACAAAAGACGACGACCGACCATTCTTTCTTTGACAAAAGACAACGAGGGCAGTCCTCACTAAACCTCCGACGCGAGCAGACGACTTCTCCTGACTAAATTGTGCAGACAGATCGTACACGCATCATACGTCTAGTGGGCACTGCCACTGCGATCGTCACCCTGCGACATAAAGTTACAAATCCTGTGTGCCAGTATTTACCCCAGCACCCTTACCCTTCCGAACCGGAACGCAGTAATGCTCACATTACGGCTTGGCGGCATAAATAGGAATGGTGTCAGTAATCCCTGCACGAACTTTTTCACAACATACACCATACATGCTATATTGGATACAATGCTTGTTTCTAGGTTCCAATAAGTGTGAAAGAACAACAAGATCCGGATCCTGACTTCTCAACAGTGACGTTCCCGAACCCTGAGGAAGTAGAATGCCTAAAACTGAGCCAGAGGCTTGCCGAGCAGCGCGGCGTGCGGCTAGTGCTTGTGAACGACCCGGACGCTGATAGACTCGCCGTCGCCGAATATAATCTCAGGTAGCATGTTAAGAATAACTTTCTTGTTGAGTGCGTCCACATTGCCAGCCTAGTGCGGTTGCGCGACCGACGCGAAGATTAAACATATGAAACCGCCGTTTCCGTCCATAGTGTAGTGACCAGTGAGCGAGATAGGGCGCGTAGTTTTTAAACGTTCCTATCCGCACATTATGGCCACACTACGAGCCTAGTCAGAGCCTAGTGTGGCGAGGGTATCAAACCAGGCCCCGATTCAGAACTCTTCGATATCTTAACCGAATCGTTTGATTGGATATCGTTCTAGAATTGAAGGGCGCTTTCCGAGCTATTCGGAACATTCGAGTTAAAACGTTCGATTCGGATTCGGATACGATATCGTTATCCAACAACGTTTACGGACTTAGTCGGCGAATATAGATTATAAGAAAAATTAAATCCTTTTATATACATTTTTAAGAATTCAAATGCTTAAAGTATAGGAATGCATTAGTCTCGCATTAAAATAAATTAATAAAATTTAACAAAAACCATATTTTATTTAAAATAATGAAATATTTCCATATTTCATTGTTGCTTTGTAAACAATAGGACGTTCGGTAACTTTTTGTCGGTCGAGAAGTACGAGTAATCATACGGGTGTGACGTCATTTCGGTTCGGTTTCGAATACGACAGTTTTACGTTCGATTCGGTTATCGGTTCGGTTGTATATAGAAATGTAAAGAAATCGTACGATATCTAATCGAAACGGTCGAAGACAGAGTTAGCGTAAGATTGTGAATCGACCTGGAGTTTAGTTTTATCGTTCGCATGAAATGCATAAAATGGCAGTAAATACTGAAATGTTTCTAAGTGCGATTCAATCTAAACCAGGACTAATACTAGTTTTGTACCTTCTCTAATGATTTTAGGTGATATTTTATTCAAAATGTAGTCAAATGTTGACACACGCATTCGCGATTCTCAGAGAATTTTGTAAATTTAAAAATTCACCATTAATGTATCTGCCGCATTCATAGAGGACGCACAGTTTGACTTATAAATGAGAAACAATGACTGTCAAATAAGTAATACTCGACCAAATTAAGATAATGTCAAGTATGCAGCTTTATTCGCATCATGCGCCTTTTTTTGGTAGACTATTACTTATTTGACAATAATGGTTTCGGGCGGAAAACGGGAGTCATCGAGTATATAACCAGAAATAGAGACGAAATGTCATTTAATTTGTTTCAAAACTATTCTGCCATGTCATTACTGTGACAACTGCGCTCCGATTGGCCAGCCCGAGTTCGAAACAATTGACGGGTGTCGTCAATTGTCGACGAAAATTGTAAAATTACATATTTAATTACCGATGAAATTTGTTTCCGTTTGTTTTGTAATTAGATGTTTTGCTGTTTTTCCCCACACCACTGAATGGAACAGCACGCCATTGTTAGAGATATTTATTATCTTTATTACAATAAATACAGAATATTTTTGGAATATACGGAGACGTGTACACAGACCAGTTGTTAGTGCTATTTCAGCTTTCTAATTTGTAATTGCAGTGCAAACGAGAGTTGATATTTATAAATGATGTATCACTGACGAGTTATCAGGAATGTATGGCCCTTATTTCGTCTCTATTTCTGGTTATATACTCGATGACTGGAGTAGACCCCCTGACTGTCGTGACGAATGCAGTTTGTTGGCGAGGTTACACTCACAATCACAAAACTATAGTATACCTAGTACAAGAAGATTTATCAAAACCAGTGTAGAATTTCCCTAAATTTACTACATGCTTTCAAGAAGTATAAATTTAAATTTTTTCTTCAAAGCAAATATACTTAACAATTCTCTGCCTCTCAAAAAATCTAAATTATTTAATATAATTGACAAAAAATATCTATTTCTTCTGTTACCAAAATAGTTATTTACTTTTGGACATACATATTTATTGTCGCGGGGTCGCCTAGTATTATTATACTTGTTCGTTACATTACTTTTAAATTTAGTTTTACAATAGTTTTCAATAACGACTAAATATTGAACTGCTTTTACAGGAAGTATTTTATAGTGTTCCTATTTGGTATGTAGTGTTCGGGTTTATTTCTCACCATAATATTCTCGTATTTGTAGAAAAAGAAGTCTCAAGTTTTTTTTTTAATAACTTTATTAGAAAGTACTCTGCGTTTATTACAAATAGTAATAAATAATGAGTTCGGTTCTCTGAGTTTTTCGAAATTTATGTGCGATATTTACCATGAACTTTTTGGTGAAGTAACCGTAAACCGGCACGTAGAAGAAGATTCACAACCATCAGAAAACGTGTGAAGTTATCAACCCGCATTGGGCTAGCGTGGCGGGCTATGGCTTAAAACTCTTGCCAGAGAAGGGACCCGTGCCTAGAAGTAGAACGTGTAAATGGGTTGATGATAAAGTGAAGTTAAAAATCAGTTAATTTTGTTATAGTACCAAGGAATGGAAAGTTTTCACCGGCAACGAGATGGGTGCTTTACTAGGCTGGTGGCTTTTACACCTGCATTCTTCTAGTGGGTCAGATGAAAAAGTTTACATGATCGCCAGCATCGTCAGCTCTAAGATGCTGCGGACCATTGTCCAAGACAAAGGCTACTTTGTTGAGACTTTAACTGGATTTAAATGGATGGGTGAGTAATGGAAGTTTTAAATTACTTTTGATTGGATCTATCTCTCGTTGCAAACAACAACTAGTTTTGACTCATAAAAGTTTTATTTTAAACACTCTCTATCTCTGTCATTCTCGATTAGTATTCACTACCTAATTTCCGTGGCAATTTTTATTATTTCATTATTCGATTTTTGTACTAATAGTATAACGTACGTATAATACGCAAAAGTAACATATATGTATAGTATATAAATGTAGCTAAGAACATATAAATGTAACTAGTAATAATTGTAAATGTCGACTAACACCAGTAGTAATAAAGGCTTTTTTATTTGTTCGATTTGTTGTCGTGCAATATATTTAATTCTCGAGTATTGTATTGTGAAATATTATACACGTATACTTGAATATTTAAATAATAAAAATTGCTACGGTAGTGAATACAATTAAGTAGTGAACACTAGTCTGCGAATGACCGATTTAAAGATATGCCACTCAAATTAATATTATAATTAATTTCGCACACCACACACTAAATTAGTTATTTAATTTTTATTTTTTTATTGCATGTTGGTTAGTCTTATTTAGAATTATGTGTTATATGGGTCATAGTTGCCTGGTACAAATGAATAAATTTGAAAATACTGAGTTGTGTAAGTTTCGGAGTTAGTATGTACGATTTGAAACCTGGCAGCTTAAATTTCGAAATTTTCGAAAACCAAATGACCGCCATTTTTTCTCGTTAATTTCGAAATTTAAAACAAGTTAACCGCCATTTTTTCTTCATTATCTCGGCAACTGTTAGTGAAGGTGGGGTTTGCTTTTTTTGCTTAGATTCGTGTTTATAACTTTAGAGGTATTTATCAATTTCGCGTGATGGTTGCTAACTTCGATTAACCAAATCGATCGCAGTTTATGCAATTATTATTATATTTATCGATGTGGTTAATCGGAATCAATAATAAAATAAATAATTACAGGTAATACAACACTGCTTCTTTTGGAAGAAGGCAAGCTTCCACTATTCGCATTTGAAGAAGCGATCGGCTATATGTGCCATCCGCGCGTGCCGGACAAAGATGGCATCTCCGCCGCTGTTCAAGTAAGGCACTTCTTCGATTAGAAAGAATAGAATAGAAAAACGAAGGAATATAATAGAATAGAGAAACGAATAGAATAGAAAGATTTCAGGCAGATAAATATATTACCACAACCCGCACTTTTTATTAAAACGATAGATTGGTCACTCAGAAGTAAAGATATTCCCTTATATCGTGTAAATAAATATAGAAAAGGTTTCATCGGTTCTCCTATATACAATCGCTCCTCTATACAATTGTCAATTCTCCTCAAAACAACTCACAACTAGTGTTGGTTCATGGGAAAATTTCCATTTTGAAAAAATAATATTTTTCAGGACATTTTTTTGACGTTAACGCCTGTCAAACACTATCATGAACGATATCGATATTTAATTATTAATACAAAGTTCGAAATCTTTGTATTAATAATTATAACAAACTAGTGGAGTAATGTCACAAAAAATAATTGAATATCAATTTAATACAAATTTAGATATCGATATTTTTTTTGACATTGCATCGCACATCCCCGACTTATAGAATAAGAATACATTTATTGCATAACTATACGTTATGGTAGGGTATGGTAATTACATATGGTCTTAAAATATTACATTGGTTTGTGCTGTATAAGTTACCAGATAAGGTATACAATATTATTAAATGTCACAGATTAAAATTAAATTGAATTACAATATGAAAGAAAAGAAACAATTATTAATAAACATGTCACATCGCTAGTCACCAAATTTGTCATTGTCGTCAAAAAGTTTTGTACTCAACCATTTACTAAGAGCATTTTAAAATTTTACGTACTCGAATTTTTTAAATTCATTCGGGATGCTGTTGTATATCTTAACCGACATTACGTTAAAGCTTCTGTGGTAAAATGCTGAGGTACGAGGGTCATTTGAAAAGTTCTTAGCCTGACGTATTTAATGAAACCACATGATTTTGATTTTATTTTTATTTTTCAACATACTCTCCCCCGAGCTCAAAACACTTTTTCCATCGACCCGGTAAGGCTTCGATACCTGTTTTAAAAAAATCTTCCTCCAACTCCTCAAAATATGCATCTACTGCGGCTACGACCTCTTCATTTGTATGAAAATGTTTACCACCTAAAAATTTCTTTAGCTTTGGGAATAGATAAAAGTCGGACGGTGCTAAATCCGGCGAATATGGGGGATGAGGTAACAATTCAAAGCCACACTGATGGATTTCTGCCATGGATTGCACAGAGGTGTGAACGCGCGCGTTGTCCTGATGAAACAAGACCTTTCTCCTCAATAAACCTGGACGTTTTTCTTTAATTTCTTCTTTCAAACGACGCAATAGGCTGCAATAATAATCGGAGTTTATTGTTTCACCTTTTTTTAAGTAATCCACCAAAATTATACCCTTTGCATCCCAGAAAACCGATGCCATGACTTTGCCGGCCGACAAAATCACCTTTGCCTTCTTTGGGGTGGGTGATCCTACTCTTTTCCATTGTTTCGACTGTTCTTTTGTCTCAGGTGTATTGTGGTGAACCCAAGTTTCATCCATGGTTACAAATCTTTCAATGAATTCTAGTGGGTCAGCTTCATATAACTCCAAACAGTCGCGGGAAGTTGTGAGTCGGTTGCGTTTTTGTTCCACTGAAAGCAGCCGCGGTACCCACCGCGCAGACACCTTAGAAAATCCAAGGTCAGCAGTAATTATATGGTGTGTTCGCTCAGAAGAGATGCCTATAGTCTTAGCTATCTCCTCGACAGTCAATCTTCGATCAGATAAAATTAAATCACAGATTTTTTCTTTGTTTTCATCGGTGGAAGCAGTTGAAGGCCGGCCACTACGGGGCTCATCTTGAATGGTCTCTCGACCACGTTTGAACTCTGCCACCCAGTTTTTTATAGTCGCATACGAAGGAGCAGACTCACCCAAAGTAGCAGACATGTCTTCATGTATAGCTTTTGGAGTCAAACCTTTCAAATACAAGTATTTGATCACTGCACGATGTTCAATTTTATCCATTTTCAAAAATAGCTCTGACTTGACTTACAGTATTACGTGTTAACGAGCAACGAATAATTGTGACTTAACTAAACTGTGCATACTTGTTACTGAATAATTAAGCTACAAAATGAAGGTAGTTATGAAAAAAATCGATGACCCTAACTATGTCAGGCTAAGAACTTTTCAAATGACCCTCGTATCATTGCCAGAGTAAACCATTCTATGCCCATGTCTTAAATTTCTATGGATTCTTTTATTTGCGATTTCAAAATAGGACGGATGTTTCTGGACATATGCAGCAGCCTTAAGAAGCATTAAGGATAATATACAGGCAGTATAGCGACATAATTATACATAATAATATAGAATTATTATCAAGCCGCTTATATACAATTATTCGGTAGGATCAGAGTACTTGGTTCTGAATTCTAAAATTACCAGTTAGTGCGTGTTGAGTGCGCAATCCTTCCTCCCGCTTAGGCCAGTCCCCAGTATGAAGAAAAACGATATCAGCTATTGCTAAACACAGCCAAGCACTTGCCATTTGTCAACTTCAAATATTAAATTTAGGTCTAAACTTAACTCATTAATTTATAATTTGCTTTACATTTTACGTTCACAGCAAACGTAATAGATGGTTACATTTTGAGTTTCTTAATTTGTGGGGAATATGAACTTTGCTCTCCCCAAATTTGGGGATTTTAACCTTGAGTTTTAGAGTTTTTGAACAATTGGCATTGGCAACGCTATTTGTATTACTTTTTTAAAACTTGTTAAACATATTATCAATATGTACCTGTACAGGTAATTGGTTGGAGAATGTCAAACAGTATTGTACTTCGCGGTTCTCATATCGTATCCATTAGTGATCTATCTATCATATCATATAATGAAGACTACGCCAACTTTAGTTTTTGGTAGTTTTCTGTTATTTTTGTAAACAGCCGTGATTCGTGAAAAAAATAAAGAAACAAAAAACAAAATGCGAAAGGAAAAAAACAAAAAAACGAATTTTGTGGAAAAAAAAAGAACCATAAAACAAAATAAAAACAGAACATGTCCAAAAATTCTGTTGGCGTAAAGTTCATTGGAGGTATCGATGTTTATTTATCGCCTCCAGGTAGCTTCGCTAGCGTCCCACCTGTACACCAATGGCTCCTGCCTAGTAGACCAACTACAAGCTCTTTACAAAGAATTCGGCTATCACGTATCTCACAACGCGTACTTTATCTGTCATGAGCCCGCGACTATACACAAGATCTTCAGACGGATCCGGAATTACGGTGGACCGGGAGTTGTACGTATATTATTTAATACATTTGTTTTCATTTATAAATTTAATGGCTCCTCACAAATAGCTTTTGAGCCAATGACTATGTTCTTATTTATTTTTTAACTAAAGGAACGAACGGAAAAAGTATCAATATTTTTTGGTATCACGTACCTTCCTTTGCTTATTTACTGTTACTTTTCATTTCGAGTGTTAACAATTTTACACAAGTCTTATGATATCCTTTCACATAAATCCTACTTAGTCTAAGGCCTAAGATTGCAATGTTAAACTTGCAGTTCTTGATTGTTCAATAACATACACATAATGGCAATTGACCAAACCTCGTGTCATGCTAGCGCAACTTGCGCAACACCATTAAAAGCTTTCAAATTACACGCTTGTAGAAGCTTTAGCGCCGCAGCCGCGCTACTGCAAATTTTTATACAGTATCTAGTCTGCAGAAGTGGCGCCACAGTGGCGTCAGCAACGTCGAATTTGAAGGCACCTTTACATTGGAATTATTAAGTTCGGTTTTTTAAATTATAATTATGAATTTAAACAAATAATTTATTAAAAACGTCCATTAATTCATAAGTGTTGTATTCTGTCTGTATGGTAAATTCAGTAAAATTTGTACATATTCTTTCAGTACCCAAAGCACGTAGCTGGTTACGAAATCGTTTACGTTAATGACTTGACAGCTGGCGTCAAATATCCAGAACAGTCTGCTACTGGAGATGCGCTTCATTTGAGTGAGTATACCCCCAGATATTTATTTACATCCTCCCTCTCCTGACTCAAATTTAAACTCGTACGTTACATTAACCCATGACTCGTACGATGGACCATGATCATTAAGTCCATGTGCGTTTTAAGTAAAATAAGTGTTAATGGTTTTATTACCCTATTAAGAAATTGAAATTGCTTGGAAGCTAGCTTTTTCGGCGTTTTTTTAATTTGGATATGAATAGTCACCGTTCACTCACTGAGTTATATTTTAAACGACTTCAAAAAAAGGAGATGGTTCTCATTTCGACCGTATGCTTTTTTTGTGTCTATGTTGCGCCAGTACACCGACATTTTTAGTGTAGTAACTCAGTAGTAGTCCCATTCGAGTTTTAGGAAATATTCCACCTCTAAGGGTGGCAAATTAGGGGATGAATCCGGTTTAATGAATTTCTACCACTTTCCACTAACCGATTTCAAAAAAACTTGGCAAATAGATATAATTACACAAACTTTGACGGTCTTATTTATAAAATAAAAATACAATTATTTATAACATGATTGTTTTACACACAGCCCCGTAATATCCGGGACCTCTGTGTGGCAGTCCAGCATGGTAACCGTTCAGCTACAGAGGCAGTTATAAAGTTGCTAAATTTCAGACGTACTAGGCACGGGCTTAGACCGTGACTACACGAGTGGTGAGATGATAATGCTGCGCTGCAGCAACGGACTCGGCGTCACCATCCGCACAAGCGGCACCGAGCCCAAGATCAAGTACTACACCGAACTCATTTGTAACGCTCCTACCTGCAAGTGAGTATTGGCTCATATAAAGCAAACTATAATATTTCATTTCAATCCATTTTAAACAAAAAGTAAACAAACAAGTCACTGACCCGACCACAGACGGTTTAGTGATGGTCCATTTTACTGTCAACTACAAATCAATTCATTAATTGAATGAATCGATTTGTTTAATTGAGTCATGCTATAGTCCATTCGTTTAGATACTTAACTATATGTAAACAATTTAGAGACGTCTATTTAACGAAATATACATTTATAAAATGATTTTTACTTACCTTCAAATACAAATATTTAGCTTCATATGAAATTTCATGTCTACTTTTATGCCAATTGATTTGTAAAGCATGTGTTTTGAATAAAAAGATGTATCAAGATTGTTTACATTTAGTTCAGTGCCTAAACAAATGGACTATAGTAGTTTTCATTACATAACCTATAAAAGCATATTTAAAATTTCCGAAATCGTAATTTTAAATCCTCCGTGGCTTAGTTGGTATAGCGTCTGCCACGGTATGCTAATAGACGTCGGTTCGAATCCGGCCGGATCGAATGAATTTTTTCGGAGTGTTCGATCTTTGTATTAATAATTATAACAAACTAGTGGAGTAATTTCACATAAAAAATAATTGAATATTAATTCAATAAAAATTTAAATACAATGAATAGCGACAGAGATGTCTAGAGATAGCCAGGGCTGGTAGCTGTAAAGGTATCTAACTGGGTGACGAAATACTTAAGATTTCTCATGGATGTCGCTACGGCTAAAAAGTTACTGAAAAAACCAAATACAAAGACACGACAACAAACACATAGAAAAATTCGTGAGGTTCGCTCGCTCGTTCCGTGGCTTAGTTGGTATAGCATCTGGCACAATATGCTAGAAGACGTCGGTTCCAATTCGGCCGGATCGAAGGATTTTGTCTGGGTATTCGATCTTTGTATTAACAATTTAAATCCTCCTTCAAATCCTTGCACTTACTATACTCGTTCGATTCGATTGAAATTTTCGATTTACTAATCGATTACCAAAATTTTAATTGAATGAACTTAATGTTTTTTTCCGTATTTCACTATGCAACCATAGATTATTTATGTGTGAGTGAATGTATATTCATACATCATTAATTAAAGAATATCCCCACTTTTTGACTACCATTTTTCAAAAACGATTTCACGACGTTATCTATACGAATATTGTTGGAAAAAGTGATGAGATATCAAGTCAAAATCTTCGGAATATACGTGAAAGTGTTACTTATTCGGTGTATTCAGCGATTACTGTAGAAATTCAACCAAACCGATTTGTTTACATTTCGTTTAAAATGGACTGGAACAGACTAGTTCGCAGCAAAGCTCTCTTACAAACTTTCATCCCTGTAATCACCACCTTTAAGATTTATTTTTGTGACAAAAAGTAGCCTATGTCCTTTTCCTAGGTTCAATCTATGTCTATACCATGGAGTATATAACCAGAAATAGAGACGAAATAATCCATCCATGGCAACTCATCAGGGGAATGGGCCTTATATCATTTCAAATATCAGTTCTCGTTTGCACTGAAATCACAAATTAGAAAGCTGAAAAAATACAGCGCCAACAACTAACCTGTGTGTCTCCGTATATTAAAAAAATATTCTGTACATATTGTGATAAAGATAATATCTCTAACTATGGGGGGCTATTCCGTTCGGTGGTGTGGGAAAAACAACAAAACATCAACAAAAAACAAACGGAATCACATTTCATCGGTAATTATATATTAATATGTAATTTTTCAATTATCGTCCATTAGCAAAGCTTAAGTTAAACTGATCGATTCGAAGTCAAACAATTGACGACACCCATCAATTGTTTCGAATTCGGGCTGGCCAATCGGAGCGCAGTTGTTACCGTAATGATTCGGCAGAATGGTTTTCAAACAAATTAAATGACATTTTGTCTCTATTTCTGGTTACATACTCTATACCAAAATTCATCAAAATTGGTTCAGCGATTTAGGCGTGAAAACGTAACAAAGTTACTTTTCCATTTATAATATTAGTTCGAATAATTTTATTTGTTTATCTAGGGTAACTAACCCACACCTGTGGGTTGCGTAACTCTATATAAATATACATATCAATGAAAATATTACTATAGGTGTACCAGAATCTTATAACATAGGCAAACAATAGAAAAATCTAACAAACTTCGCCTGGTAATGTTAACTTGTCACTTGTTAATTCAAAATGTGAATTGTGTTGCAAAGTTTTCCAACTACTGGATTTATTTGAGAAATCATTTTCAGTTTTTTGAACATAGTAATGATTTTTAATATAAACCATATTTACAGGAGCCAAGCAGACACAAAAGCAAAGCTGGAAAAGATGGTGGAGGAGTTCATCGACGAGTTACTCCAGCCCAAAGAGAACGGTTTAAAATAAGATTTTTTTTTTTATTTATTTGCTACTGCGGGCGCACACTTAATTTTAACTTAAAATTAATCTTAAAATAAGTTTTTTGCACTCAAACATGGCGCTTGCAACTTCGATCTTAACCTCCTAGGACCCAGCAACAATGAGAAAAGCGCTAAAGGTCCAATACACATTAAAATGTACTAAATATAATTACATACTTCTGACCCAAGCAAGTACGCCTTCAGTTTTGAATGAGTAACGTGTTTTTCTAGATACCATATGGTTATATAAAATCATTAGAATGTACACTGGGCGTTTACGTGATCATATGAATAATATTGCCTGGTTCCGAATTACTTCACATATTATGTATATTTTGATGTTCACGAGGCTTTAGGAGTTTAATTGCGCGCGCTAATATTCAATCAATAGTAACTTAGACAGGTGATTTTAATTTGTTTATTACGTTCCTTTTTACGACCACTAAGGGACTCATCATATTTATTCACAGGGAATCGCCCTGACCTGGTCATGAAAACCTTTATATCCATGCAGTAAGAGCGACAAAGACGTTAGGCCTTGTTCCTATAATGCGGGACCGGCGAATTTGCCTGATCGGTAAAACTGCCGGAAAGGCTAGGGGCTGTACAAATTACATGAAGCTATTCACATTACGCCGGACCCGGCAAAAATGCCGAAGCTCGGCATTGTTGCCGGAGCGTTTGTCATCGCGGAACGCCCGGATCGGAGTAATGTGAATGACGACGAAAGTCGTCAAAAAAGAAAAGAGGATGCTGTCATTCGAAAATAATTGAAAAACTTTGATTGACTCGTCACTTCTCAGTTGGCCCATTAAAAATCTTTCCCGTAAAGTAGGATGTACCCAATGTTTCCTTTCTCTTCTTCTTAGCCTTCTGTATCTTACAAATACACCACAACACCACAATTTCGTCGTCTATCGTGCGCAGTGGTCTGAATTCAACTGAGGTGAGCACTTTAGTCTCCGGTTTTCTTACGAGATCCGGCTTAATGTGATCTTAGTCGGAGTGCCGGGTTCCCGGCAAATTCGCCGATCTTTAGTGGGAACTAGGCCTTACGCGTTTCGCTTCCGCCCGGATCGCTGGTGCGAAACGCAAAACGTCATAATCGCTCTTATTTCATGGACATAAAGATTTTTCTGACCGGCGTAATGCGATTCAGTGTCGATAAGGTGTGGTGACACGCTAAAAGTGGTGTAACTTATTTTAAAAGTTTTATACTTTGACCAAAGATGTTTTAATTTTTAGGACATTCCTTCGCGTCATAGTGAAGCGTTTCGTTAGTTAAACCAATTATATTTACTCACGTACATACCCTAAGTATGTATTAAATTATGAATTTATTTAATAATACCAAAGGCATGTGAAACATTCCTTTCTGTGATACGAGTCGGGAACCAGTGAAATAATTGTGATATTACTGGTGTAATCACCGAAGATAGTTGTAAACAGTGAGGCTAGAACAAATTACTGATTATTGAAAACACCACAACTTCTTCAACCTTCGCGTACAACGCGATCGTAATACGCGATACGAATCTAATGGGTAGTTGGTAACATTTCATTGGCTGACATTATTTTTAAACACAAATGACACACGTAGTAACAAATTTTGTAAAACATTCTCTGTTTCGAGTTTGACGGTATTGAATTCTGTTTAATTGAACAGCAAGTATGTAGAAAAGAGTTGATGAAACTTTGCTTTTTGTGGCTGTCACAGTGGTATTAATGGCTACATAGTGGGTATTTACACAATCTCACAAAAAAGGATGGCGAAAGCTGACCCCATAATTATAAAATCAACGAAGGGACTTAGCTAGTATGATTTAAATTTATGCCTAGTTATCAATATATTTTGGTATATTTTTAGAAGTCGGGAATAAAGAAATTGTAAAACAATGTATTTTAAAATAAATGCAAGAACACAACGCAATTGATTCAGTTCGACTATAGATTGTTTCTTTTTAAGCATGATTGAATGTTTACCAACCTAAAGTATCGGTTATTTTATAGTACACACATAAAACATTATTGCTATGAAATACTTAATCAAATGACATAAAATGAAAGATAATGTGACAAAAAATGTTTAGACAATATTTAGGTAAATGAGAGTTAAGCAAGTTAGCAAAGGAACGTTTTAACGAGAGGCCTCTTGCCAATGTCAATGTCACATTGAGATTGAGAACAGTGTGACCAATTTTAGCAGATTTCTGCAATTTGGGCAGATATAATATTTAATCATTTTCATTGCGGCAGAACATGTTAACGTTGTATTATATGTGGCAGAGTTTGGCAGATTTGGGAATATTCAGCATGTTCTTTATTATTTTTGAGAACGAACTAAAAACTAGTTACTGTGAACAAACATTATAAAGCGAAACACAGGACAATATATAAATATAACCTATATCGACTTTATAACTCCAGCTTCTACAGGCTGTACCCAATTAGCTTTTTTGATGCAATGATAACTATCACAAGTATTGATAGATCTCCTTACAGCACGTCGTCAAAAACAATGGGTTACAAAATACACGGTATGTCGCCACCCTTCTTTTCTAGGTTCTTTATCAATGTGTTGAATTTTGGTTAAAATATAGTGTTCGTTTTTTGGCTTTAAATAAAAACAAACCTGAAAATTTGTACGTTTCCTTAATTTCTTTGCGTACAAATTTTAACTTTTCGTTGTGCTAGCCACAAAAACAAAGTTTCTGGTTTTTTTTGTAAGAACTAATTAGAAAATGATCCCAGAAAAACTCGTGTTACATAATGTTATTTACATCTAAATTATTATACACGGTGATTCTAAAAAAAACAATATCTATAGTCACTCGCACCACACCACATGTAATACTAGACAATTAATGTTAAATAAAGTTCAAAGTGAACCGTTTATTATTATTATTAAAAAGAAAAATTTCGAATATGATATTAGTTTAGACCAGCCTAATTAGAAATGTAATAAATAGAAACTAGGTTGCACTTGATTCACATAACTTACTCTACACTCGATAGGTACTTAATTGATTTACAAATGTTAAATATATACAAATTTTACAATTATTATTACCGAATAAAATAAACAATAGACAATGTTTGGTTGTTTTTTATTTTTATCAAATAGATTAATCAACAAATTTGTAAAATCAGTTTTCAAAATAAACTAAGTGAATATAGATTTATACAAACATAATTAAATGTGTACTACAATACCTGCAGACATCTATATCTTGCAGTGGATTCATAAGGCCTCGTATTCACGAGAGAATAATCGACCAGCACGACATGTTGGACAACCACATCATTACTTACCTTTAATATGAGTAATGTCAATAGTATTTATGCAGTAAATCTATACTTCGTTTTATTTAACATTAAACGGAAAGTTTGAGTCTTATCAAGCGCCATTTCATTCTCTAATTTTGTAAGCAAAGCAATTTAATAACTTACAACTTTTAACAATTTAACTCAAGATAAAATGAAAACTGTCATCTTTAGGTACAGACTTAATAAATTTAAAAAAATTGCACTATAAAAGACTTGAAGAAACAGTGGTTACAAACAATAAACAGAAAATTTTATATAAAATGATGAGGTGTTATCGTGTCATTTATAAATGTCGTATGACGTCAATACTCGCGGTGATTTCCTTTACTGTAACTTGTTGTCTGAAGTTTACGACCACTGCTTTTTTGTTTGCGTTTTTTTTCTAATTATAAAAAAACGAAGTATAGTAACTGAAAATATATGAGTAAATTTTTTGCTGTATCAGTATTAGCGATGAAAGAGACTCAGTCTTTTAAGGCCTTTTAAAAAACCTCGACTAATTTTTAACGCCTCACGACTAGTCTAGTCTTTTAATGCTCAAGTCTTGAGTCATAATCCTAAATCATTATACTAAAACTGAAGACTAATTCGAGTCGCAGCCTTTTAACATTAGGAAGCTTAAAAGACTTATAGGACTAAAATGTCTAAACGACTGGCGCCCTAGCCTCGGGAGTCGCGAGTCATGAGCCGTATGGCGTGATTTTATTTCTACCCACAAGATATTTATTTTACGATTGATGGATAACGTTAACGTAGCTTTGTTCAAAGAAGTCAGTTAATTGTAACCAATTCAAGAATTTGTTTTTTTGGGAATTATTTGTTTCTTTAATACAAAAATTAATAGATACGGAACCCAACAGTCAAAGTATTTTATCAAATTATAGTGTCTGATACTGTCGTTTGACCATAATGATGAATGAAACATACTATTTGATGAACGTATTAAGTGGAGGTCCACAGTCTCTGCCTACCCCTGAATGGGCGACAGGCGCGATTTTTATGTATATATTTGTTCTATGTATTACAGATAAATTGTATCTTACAACTCTGTCCACGGGTTTCTTAAGAAGTTTAAACAAAAGTACCAGGACTTCATAATAAGAAAAGTGGTTACAGACCAATATTACACAAAATAAAAAAGCACGTTAGACCTGGATTTCCATAGACTTTTAAATATTGGTTGTATTTCATTATTTTAATTTACTCGCAGAAAAATATTGTTTGTAATCATTATATAATTAGGTCTTAAAATCTTGTACCTATTGCTTAAATCGCTCTTTGAATCCTAATTTTTATTATAAGTAAATAAACGTGATTATTTACTACATACTACGTCATTTTTATTTATAAACTTCGGTTTTTATAAGACATAAAATAGGTATAAGTCCCTTGCAAACAACTCGAGTCGTTTAAGTCGTTCATTTCGCTTAAGTCGTATAAGTTGTTTATGTCTTTTAAGTCTTTTAGTATAATGACTGAGTCTTATTAATAAAAACTCGAATCTCCATTCTTAATTTTAGAGTCAAGTCCTGTAAAATGGACTCGAGTCGTTATAAAACGCCTTAAAAGACTGAGTCTCTTTCATCGCTAATCAGTATCCCAGATAAGTTGGTTGGACTATAAAATGCTTAAATGTTTCAGTCTTCTTGTTCTGCTTCTTCCTCTAGAGCCAATCTAGCCAGTTCCTCAGCTTCGCGCGCCAGGCGCTCCTTTTCCTTAAGCTGCAGTTCAATCAGGTTGTCCAGTTCTGGGCTCATTAGTACTGTGAGGCCTGCTGTCATTGGTACCTTAGTAGAAAATTTATATACAGTGTATTTTTTTTAACTTGGACAGTATGGGACAATCAGAAACCGTTGGAGATACAGGGAACCTGTCTTCTGACAGGTGACAAATGATATTGACGTTTGAAAGATGAAAGGAAAATACTAAGTTTGAATACTGAATTTGAATTAGCAATTTAATGATCACGTGACACTCGACAAGAATTCGTTGCTCTGCACTCAAACAAATTAAAAACTTTGTATTTCTTGGGGAATTTCCCGTCCATAGATATAAAAGTCAGTGAGTGTTGTCCATTTATTTTGGGCAATTTATGAAGGAACAATAATATTAACAAAAGAGGTAGTGTAATGCCAAATTAAATCTAAGAAATATGTCCTGTCATATTTTTTTTCAAACTGTTAGAAAAAAACATACTCTAGAAAAAAAAAAATTATTTTTTCATGTTTTTTTCCACCTCAGAAAGAAAAACAGTTTTTCACAATACTAGTCCGGTATGCGCAAAAGGCAACTGATAGAAATCCGACGACAGCCGAAGCATGGAGGTTGCGGAGATAATTAGAAAATAGTGTTCTGTAATTTTTTTTAATAAAATGAGTAAGGAAATTTAATCTTCAATAATTAATTCACTGATTACACGTACCTCTGCGAAAATTGGGATAGCAGCGTCCCATCTTTCAATATGATTTTCGAGTATCTTAATACAAGGCGCCGCCTTTGGAATCATTTTTGAAAACGTTCTGCGTAACATCAAAAATTATAAATTGACTAATAAATACAATGCGAGATAATGTAAAAAAATCGTATCTACAATACAAAATACAGCGTTCCGCTTCCACATTTAAATGGCGAACGGCTATGGAGTGGAATAACTTGCCTTCAGACTAATTCCCTGAACGCTATAACTTGCACCTTTTGAAGGCGAGAATGAATAGGCATTATTTAGTTTTTTTCATACTGTCTGACGACAGTCATCTGAGAACTTGGCCGAATTAGACTGGCCTCAGCCACAATTAGCTTATTACGTAGAAACGGACCTTCCCCACTTTATTTATTTAGATGGTAGGTCGACGATGGAGCATGTACAATTTCCATGAGGTGAGGTGGAGATCAAATGCGCATTTATTCTTTAAAAGAAATGGGGTAAAGTGAACACAATTCGCACGAAGGCAAAACTCACTCGAAAAGCGGTATACATGTGGTCTTGAGGAAGTTACACTCGAGAACCGGTATGAAACATTTATCGCGATCCATCATCATGACCGGCAGCTCACCGCGGCTCTTCTCTATATCGCCTTGCTTGAAAAATTCCGTAAGTACTGAGGCCTTTACGAAAAAAATACAATGTAAATTGTAATATGTAATGTAAATACAAAAAATGAATCTACGTTACCCTTGACAATGTTTATTATACCATGTACAGTCGACGCCCTAAGATATCCGACCCCCACCGGCCCAAACCTTCTGGTTCTGGGTAGATAAGAGTGAATAAAAGTATTAACAAACTTAACCTTTAACCTGTAAGCCGTAAAATGCATTTTGGTATGACTTCTTATTGCATCATACGTCAATAACGTTTTAAGAAAGTTCTTTAAGTCAATTTGATTTTTTATTATTATTAATGGCTTTACCTTTGCATTTAGCCAGTGGAAGGATTGGGAAAACAGATTTACAGATTATGGAAGAGGTACGGAATTTGGATGAAAAAGGATTGGAAAGGTGGGTAGCTATTATTATATATCGACATACATATCAAAGCTTGATATTATTATTTTTGATAAATAAGGCCAGAACATTATAAACATCTTTGTGGCATAAATATAATAAACTTGTTATGGAGGTGGGGAGTGGGACACTGATTGCCAGGAGTTCGGATATGAAAGTATCGTGGTCAATTGAGGGGCAGATGAAGATATGGTTTAGATCCCCATAGACCCCACATGAGCATGCAGGGTCAGGAACAATTTTGAGTTTGAACAGGTGCGCAGGAGTTATCACGTGACCAAGTGATCATTAACGTATACTTCCTTAAGCCATTCGCGGACAATACTTAGTAGTACTGCACACAAAAAGTCACTATTTTTCTCTGTGCCGTAGTGTTTATATTGTTACGCAATATAAAATACGCACACAGCTTAGCTCTGGACGCTTCCGCCCGAGGCCGTCTTGTTTCGCGAGCACGCTTGTACAAATCGACGAGCTTGAGATCACGGGCCGTGGGTACGCACCCTATGAAACTTCTTTAGCCAATTTGATATTTAACGTATACTTACAGAATAGTCAACCACAAAGGAATTTCCTTTAACACTTTTCTGTAGACTGCATACGAAGGCTCTTAGAAGCAAAAGGTCGGCTAGAGAGTCGCGTATCTTAATCGACTGTACAATTCCGTTACAAATATTCGCTTCCACTTTCATTGGCAACAATGTAAATTGAACCATAAAAATATTAAATATAAAAATTTTAAATATTTTTTTGTTGATACTCGTTGTTTATTTTTATTCTACGTTTGTACGTACTGTGTGAGTTGTACGACGAAAATAATTATTACTAACAGCAGTCTTCTTCACGCTCCCCCAGTCCTTAAGCTGATCGGAAAGATCAGCTCCGTTCATCAACAATGCCATCAGGGCAGAATTGTGTGCACGGTTGTTTTTAATGAAATTGAGGGCGATCGATTTGTAGTCTTTTAAATTCCTGCAGTTTGATAAAAGTTAAGTTTGAAAATTTGGTCGAACATAAAGCGGTAATTCTCGGACTAGCGTTCAGTACCTAATTTCCATGGCAATTTTTATTATTTAAGTGTTCCTTTTTTATCGCCCAATATTATTTAATGTTCGAGTGACGTATCGTGAAATATTGTTTAATAATTTCACGATAATATACTTTAATATTAAATACAATATACATATACAAATTGCCAGGGAAATTAGGTAGTCGTAGAATGATCGAAATATCGATAATCGAAGATGTGAAAATTTCTCGCTGCAAAAAATAAATACCGAGACTCGGTGCGATCTCGAAAATCCCGGGAAATACGAGACATTCGAGACTGTTTCAAAAGTAGATACCCATATTTATAGGCATTTACAGCCTATGCACAAGCTGTCGACGCGCGTCATCTGCGCGTAAACGCGCGCGTGTATCGCGCATTTTGATAAGAGATAATTTTAAGTTTAGTTTTTTTATTTCAGTTAATTTTTGAAATGAAGCAACTACATGAATTTTATATGTATAAGCTTCTTGCTTGCAACGCGAAACGCGTTTGAAAGTATTATCCGACATTGCGCTTGAAGAGTAAAAAAGGTATTTCTTCGGAGTTACGGAGGTTTTCAAATTCAGCCGATGAATTATAATGAGCCAGAATAAAATAGGTAATTAAGTGATTCAAGTCTCAAAAATACCAAAAAATTATCGAGAATCCAAATTTTCGAGATCGAAATTCCGAGGATAAAAGAAAAAGCCGGAATAGACTTAAAGAGCAGTATTAAGTAGTAAAACAAAAAGAATTAAAAAATAAGTTTCACTTCCACTACTGACTAGACATTGGCAGAATTCTTCAAGTAAAGCCAGTACATTAAAAATAATATCTATATTTATGGGTAGTGCATAGTTTCAATAATTAATACGCAACTTAAGTCAAGTACTGCCAACTTACCTATTTCTGCCGCCAGTAATGTCAGCATTACTGCATTCCGGTTTGGAAGGGGAAAGGTGCTGGTGAAACTACAAACGCATGGGACTGGTCAACTTATGTCTCAGGGTGACGGGCGCAGTGGCAGTGCCCCTCAGATTATTTTTGCATTTGATTCTGTTGTTTTTTTCAGTAATGTCAACTACATATTCTATAACACTGCTTAGCTCACTAAACTAATACAAATTACTAACTTGAAGTAATTAGCTATATCGGTAGCCAGCACGTAGTCCCTAAGTATCACAAGAGCTCGATCATAGTCACGTCTAGGAAGAGACTCGAGGATATCGCAGCCTTCTGTGTTGAGAATACACATGGCTTGCGATAGGTGGTGTCTCTCCATAACACTACCCTCGCTCGAATATAACGCTGCTAGGTTTGTCTCTGTAAAACAATCGTGTATGAATTTGTTTCTTAGGGTTAGAAAACCGTAGGAGAAAGTTTTAACAGATATAATATCGTAGATATACAAGTATGATGTAAAAGATAGCCTTCGGAATTTATGGGAAGACTCCAATCCTCAATGTGTCAACGGTTTAAACCCCCTTGATTGTGATGGTGATTCGTGCCTCCCTATGGGACATGCTAGAACTGTACAGCATTTTATAATATTCATTAACCCGTTTATACGTCTCACTGCTAGACACGAGTTTCCTCTGAGGCGCGGGTTTAGGCCACAGTCCGCCACGCTGGCACAACGCGGGTTGGGGACTTTTCACATTTTCTGAGGGTTAAAACGTGCTTCGATAGATTTCGCCACGACGTTTTTCTTCACCGAAAAGCTCATGGTAAATTTCAAATTAAATCTCGCACATAAATTGCGAAAAACTCAGAGGAGAGAGCCTGGATTCGTACCTACGATCTCTACTCGGGGGTATGTCAGCGACCGCCCAGTTACCACGCTTTCCAGTACATTAATGGCGAATATGAATTCTATTTACTAGGCAACAACATTTAAATTTGGACGCCCGTGCGGCTGATTTAAGTTAAAACGTAAAAGCTAAATATAGAGCGTACTTTGCCATGACAGTTGGATGCACGCAGTCGCTGGTTGGCGTGAGCGAGATAAAATTCGTGTCGAACAAATGCACCCTACGACTACCAAGGCTAAAAGCATTATTTATTTAAATTTTGAATGAACTGATTGAATCCAATTATTTTTATATGAAATTACTCCACTAGGTTGTTAAAACTAATAATACAAAGATCGAACACTCAAAAAAATTTCTTCGATCCGACCGGATTCGAACCGACATCGTCTAGCATACCGTGCCACTATACCAACTAAGCCACGGAACGAACCAGCGGACCTCACGAATTTTTCTATGTGCTTGAGTCGTATCTTTGTATTTGGTTCCGTAACGACTTTTCAGCCGTTGCGCCATCTATGAGAAATCTTTGATATTTCGTCACCCAGTTAGATACCTTTACAGCTACCCCCGCCCCCGCCCCTAGCCCTACCCTACCCTTGCCCCGGCTAGAGATGTCGCATTATTTATTAATCATATTATTTATTCTAAATTTTTATGTACACTTACGTCCTTGGATCTGGAAGCTGTTCGTAGTGCCGCGGTGATCCAGATCATGAACTAGTGCAGCTAACACATACATGAAGGCTTGCAGATCACTGCAAACATTACAGGTACTTTACTTTATTGTTTGGGAAGAATAATCATACCTTGGCTACGTTAAATGACGCATGAGGCGAATATTTCATCAAGTCACGGAACTTCGGACTGACAATTATGGTATCATGTCGCAGTGGTGTAGTGTCATAAAAAAGCCATTCAAAATATTTATTGATGTTTATGTTAACAATTATCCATTATATATCTTATGTAGCTGATCATATTATATGTACAACCTCGCAGGACTATGTTACTAATATCATAAACAATAAGTTTTGTTACATGACTTTGAATAATTAATCAGAGTTTACTTTCGTACAAAAACTCTCTGTCTGATTATAAAAACAAATTACTATTACATTTATAACTCATTATATTTCTCGACTTACTTTCGATTACATTATTTTCGAGTTTAGGAACCTATGTACATATTATACACATTAAGCAGATACATGTGTTGTTTGTACTCGTAGGTTAGCTTTAATTTCAATCTATATAACTATTTAAGAATTACTTATTAATTGTGGTCACATGTATAGTTAGGTCCTTGACTCCGATTATTGTTACCTATCGACTGCCCTCCGCTTCATTTACTTCTTTTGGATTTTGGGAATTCGAGTATCAAAATTTTTATTTATGCAATAGTAGAAGACCAAAGATGATGAAGTAAAAATAATTACCCAAAAAATTGGCATGAACTGGCATGAAGGGCAGCAGGAAAAAAATACACTTTAAAGCTTCACAGACGTTGTTGAGCTTCAAAGGGTATGACAAAAGTTACCTTTATTATTGATTATAACCTATATTTTATACATTCAATAATATCGCAAATTTTAACACTCACTGTACTTTTATCTACAAACTGTGGAGAATTGACTTCTTATTTATTATAATATTTAATATAATATAATAAAAAAATCATGGGATGGAATTCGTATTTCATCGATTCTGAAATAATACTTCATACGTACTTTTTGAGCTAATACTGCTAATACACTATTGTCTTAACAGTGCAATATATTCTTAAACACATATTTTTAGTTACAACAAAGGTTACAACATTATTGTAATAGCAGTGCGAATAGTGCTGCGAGGTTGTTAGTAATTAACAAACAACCCTATATAGTCATAGAATATATACCAAATAGTATAATTGCTATTTACGTCAAGTATCCAAGCTGGGCGAGTTTATAGTTGACGAGTGCGGCGTACGCCCACTGCGCGACGTTAAAAGCGTGGTGCCAATTATGGTAAGGCACATCCCGGTAGCCTTTCTGCACGTGCAGAATGAAGCAAGCCAATTTCGATAGCTTGAGATGAAATCTGTTTTAATAAAATTGTCGTCAATTAACGGGTCGGGTTGGAATCGGGGTGCCCGCGCTCGGTGTGTTGTCATCCATATAAATACACGGAATTAGATCCGCCGCGGTCTAGACCCGACCCGCGCCTGATCCACACCTGCTCTGTCGTATGTGTTTCACGCTCAATCATATCGCACCCTTAATGTAATAAGGCTGCATCTGCAATATTACACCTTTTCAGGAGATAGGTTTAAAAATTCTACGAAGGAAATCGTCTTTGGTTTATTCCGCAGAACAGTGAAAGTGTCAATCAATCACTATGGAAAAAATATACAGTGCAATTGAGGATATACACTGATTATTATTAGTACGTGGTGCGAAAATTCGATTCCCAAAAATTTTCACGATAGAAAAAAGAACACAAACTTACCTCGAAATTTTACAAGAAAACCGCTGTATACAATAGGTACAGTCATATACACAAGATACCTGACCCCCCAAGCCGACTTTGTCGACCTTTTGGTTCTGAACACAAAAATGTGGAGAAAATTGTTAAAAAAACTTAATCTTTAACCTGTGAGCCGTAAAATTTATTTTGGTATGACTCATTAGTGAATGACATTTTAAGAAATTTTTAAGCCAATTTGATCTTTAACGTGTAGTTCCAACTTAAATACAGAACACAAATTTCAACCCACTTTAATAACGCCGTCACACAATGGGCTGAAAACGATCGCTAGTGGACATAGGGGTACTTGAAAATTAAACAACTCCTTTTATAAATATGATGATGGATATTGATTTTACTCACCAATACAATCATAAACTGTCATGTGGATATTTTCGATTGACACAGTAATTTTATAGTTATATGGCTCTGAATTTTTTTTTCAACAAACTGACCTAATTACTGCCTGCTCTTTATCTAATTTGACCACAATTAATTGTCAAAGATAAGCATATTTCTTTACAACTTTGATCTTTTGAGTGACCAACCGACCTAATTACTACCTGCTATTATCCTAACTTGACTTGACAATTGTCAAAGATACCTAAGCATATTTCTTAACAACTTTGATCTTTTGTTCGGGTTTATGATAAGCTCCCCATTGTTTACACGTGTGTTTTTTAGCAAAACAAGTGACATTTTAGGGTGATGAGACTGTTGACTACCTTGAACGGTGATCGTTCGTAGGTATGCGTCTTGATATTATTAAGGTTATTATCTTTTTGATTGGCATTAATTTTATGTGTGTTACCTATTCTCGTGTCGAAAATGTACCGCATAATACCGAAATAAAAATAAATTACGTCAAATCTTAAATATTTCTACAAACATTTTTTAAAGTGTTATTACTCAAAAACTATAACTACTAGTTGCGCCCCGCATAGAGATTCCAATAGTAATCCTATTACAACAGCCTATATCACTCGGGGATGGTGTAACTTTCTATTAATAAAAGAATTTTCTGAATCGGTTGAGTAGTTCCAGAAATACAAATATTCAAATTTACAAAAATTTACGTCTTTATAATATTGGTATAGATAAAGATACGAAAAAAGTTCAAGAACATAAAATTATCATATTGACTAGTAGTATCCGATCCTAACAATTTCAAGCCTGAAATCCACACTTTTCGAAATCAGCCCACTGTGTGTCGTGGCCAAACGGTATAATGATTGCTTTGCAAATTGAGGCAAGCATGGTTCGAGTCACTTTAAAAATAAAATATTATTTAGCTATATAATACTGTATTTTTTTTTGTTTTTAACGTCGGGATAGATGTAAGCAATGTCTAAGTCTTGTTCATACAGAACAATAATTTCTAATTTTAATAATTCCGTTAAGTGCGGCGACACTGAGTTATATATACCGTTGGAACCAGCTAATGTTTCTGATTCCAACGGTATATGTAACTCAATATGACCCAAAAGTGTCGCTTATGCCATTGAGCCTTTGAAGCGTCGATAATTTGTTTCATGTGGTTCATATGATAAAAGCATTCTTGGCGTATGATCACGTGTGGCTTTATTATATCATAGGCCAAGTATAATTTGAACGCTCCAAGAAAGGTCCATTATTATATCAACCTAAAATTAGGACTACGAGATGAATAATTTACTCTCATCGCCGCTGCAAGACATGCTATTTTGCCTTTTATATCTTGTGTTCAGTTTGAATAAATAAATTAACTATATATACGAAATTGATTGTATAATGATTTTGTACCTAAATATGGACTCAAGTTCGGGAAATATCCAATCATAATAAGCACACGCACTTTTTGTTAAATCCAAGGTCGCTGAACATCTTGAGAATGTAGCACGGTAGTTCCTTATTAGGCAAAGCCTTGTTATTGAAATGCAGGCTCACGATGTGAGGATGGCCATGAAACCCAGTACACTCTAACATCTTCTGAATTTCTGATGCACCCACCTGATTTCAGTAAGAGCAAGAAATATTTGAGTTTTGGAATCCATGCCATGGAATCGTCGCACCAACTGAGTTGAAAGTTATAAGTACAAAAAAGTTCAATTATCCAAGTTTGCCAGGTTATGTGGTTTTTGTGATTAAATGGAAAAGTTATTCATTATTTTTAGTTATTCATTAGTTATTCATTATTCATATTTCAAGTTATTTTTCTACAAAGCAACAAAACGTTCCAATTCTTTATTTGAGAAGAAAAAGTTCTAAAGTAAAATTGTTATATACCTTCATATGATACATGATCAGCTCATGGGCAAGTGCATTGCGAATGTGTGCTTCGCGGACCTTCTGGTAGATCACGGAGTGCACGATACACACTCCGCAATATATGCTGAAGGCCAGCGCCATCTCTTCGTCCATTACATCGAAGTACGGATCAACCACCTTACACATTGCTTCAGAATATTAAAGGTTGTCGAGGAACATGACAGCGGCATCAATGACGCCGCGACAGGATAGCAAAATTATGCACAATGGAAACGTAAGACAACATTCGAACACAGCGATTTTGAAGCTGTGTTAGTGCATAAATCCTGTAGTGGAATCACTGAACCAATAACATAATGGGAAAAGCTACATTAAGTCCTCAGTTCTCACGCTTTAGAACTGCTCACAATTTCAATGATATAGAAAATTCAAAAAATAATTCAGACCTTGTTGATCAAGTGTCCCACGCCAATGATCCCAGACTGCTCTCTAATTGGAAAGCATAGCAGAGTTCTAATAAAACAGAGAAATTATGAATTATTTACGTAAAACTCGAAATCTAGAACTCAGAGTCACGTAAGAGCGGTTGCAGACTTATTTCTGCAAATTTTCCATTCGTCACAGCTGAACTGAAATTATTTTCAGTTCAGCTGTGACGAATGGTAAATTTGACAAATCCAACTTTTTGTAGAATCTAATAACTAGTTAATCGAGTAAAATAAGATTGTTAAGTGAACAAATATCACCAACTTGCATTCTACTCCTGGTAAGGAGTCAATTTCGGGGCTAAATTCCGGGTGCTCTTTTGGTTTTCTCAAGTTTACTATAGTGCCTGTTTTAATGACAACGCCTGCAATGCCTCTGTCTAGTGGAAATCGTCGACCTTCTACCTCCCTTTCGACCTTGAAAAAATATTTGTGTTTATATTTTGTGAAGGTTAGCCCATTCCATTTCAACAAACAGGCAAAGGGGTCCGATATTATCAGAATAGGTAGGAAAAAAACTAAGTTAAATCATAAAGAAGAATAAAGACTGACAAGTGCTGCTTTGGAACATGTTGGAGGAAATGAAAAACTGATTTCTGGTATTTATGACAAGAAGAGTAACGCTATAGACATTAACTGGCATTAGCAGTTGAGGGTCCTAGAACATGTCAATTTTAACGGAGATAATCAAACTAATCAGTTGATTAAATTTCATAAAGTCATGAATCATATTCGTATATGTATTGTACATGAACATCAGGCTTAAGTTATGGTCCGATCACACTGGCACAGTATGAGTTGAGGACTTCAAGTTTCTTTAAAAGGTTGCAATCCTCCTCCAACTTGCAGGTTTCATCGTGATGTTTTCTTCATCGTTTAATCAAGAGATAGGAAATGAATAGGACGCGGGTCTCCTGCACGGGGAACGGACTCGCATTTTTGTCCCATTGTCTTTAAAACCCGATAAGTATGTGTCAACGGGCTGATCTGGGGCCAGAATTTGGCTGACAAGGCTCCTATGCAGGCTTCTAATTCTAATCAAACATCATGATCAGGATTTTTTAATATTTGTTATCTATAAGCACCTCATGAGCAACATACGTCAGCTTAGTTTCAGCCAATTCAATACGATCCAGGTCCAAAAGTTTTACAGTGCAGTATTCCGCTTTCACCAAAGACTTAGCCTGCACCATTGCTATTTGAAGAAGCGTATCTAATGATGCTACCTGAAATAGTTTAATTTTAATAAAGAAAAGATTCCGCAAATCTACAATTTACATTAGAAGATATTGAAATCAAAGTATATCATATAATGAAATAAACGCCACAAACGAAAACGAAAAAGACTCAATGGTCTCCGATGGGAACCGAATTGAGACGTCGCCGTGCCCTTTCGTCGGTTTAAGGCCACTATGAGAAATGACCACAATTAAAAAGGATCATTTCTCAAATTAACCATTTCTTGAATAAACCACTTCTTGAATTGACCACTTCTTGAATTGACCACTTCTTGAAATGACCATTTCTTGAAATTAGCACTTTATTTCTTAATTATAAATTGGTTTTTTACTATTTTCAGACCGTTTCGCCATGCAGATTTTATATATGTATAGCTCGAGAATACTGTGATGAATATCTTTTTTTTTTAAATTATGTTTACAACCTGTAAGTATAAACTAAAATAATTAGTGACAGCCCTACGCTCCGAGCGACGACGACATGTAGGAATTAACGCGCCGCACAGGCGGGAATTGCATTGCTTGTCTCAGTATTACTATGCACTGTGCTATATTAAAGGCCCATTTAGATGGAGAGAGTTCCTCGTCTCGAAGATACGATTATCGAAAGAATAAAAAAACTTTCCTAGTCTAAACATTCACGATTATCGCCCTTCCACGTGAGCGAAGCAATTCCATATTGAACGTCTCCGTGTAAACAGAACTTGAAAGCAAAAATCGTATTTCGAGTTTTTGTGCCAGCCGTTTATACCATGAGTACAATGCGCGAGGGTGTTTTGATTATCACTGCTTTTCTAAGACAAGAATGAAGGAAACGAAAAGAAAAAAATGTTTAAGAAATGTTACAAAATTAAAAAAAATATTTAAAAAATATATATATATTTCTATAGAGCAATGAACTTAATATTATCAGCAGTTCCAATTTGAATGATTTTTGCGTCATTTTGATATATTCATAGTCAATACCGCAGTAATCACTGAACTCGAATGGCAATTCTCGCACTGAAAACGGTTCGAACCGATTTGTACGATAATCGTATGAACTTAAAAAAATGTCATACGAGATCGTGTTTAGACAAGTCGAAAACTCGTAAGCAAGAATCTCCTTACTACATATTTCTCTGTATAAACAGTCGAGGAGGCGATTAAGTTGCTTGCGAATCTCGTATGACATAATCGTAGGCGAGATTTTAGTTCTTGCCTGAATGTAAACATTACGATACGATAATCTTATGGCGATTATTGCTTACGATAATCGCGTACGAGTTTTCGTCACGAAGCGTGCGAGAAACTCTCTCCATCTAAATGGGCCTTTAAGGCATTTTTTCAAGGTCATACGATTATCGTACAAATCGGTTCGAATCGTTTTGAGTGCGAGAATCGCCATTCGAGTTCAGTGATTACTGCGGTATTGACTATGGGCATATCGAAATGACGCAAAAATCATTCAAATTTGGAACTGCTGATAATATTAAGTTCATTGAATTGTAGAGAAATATACATTTTGTTTCAAATTTTATAACATTTCTTAATCCAAATTTTTTTCGTTCTCGTTTCATTAATTCTTGTCTTAGAAAAGCAGTGATAATCAAAACACCCTCGCACACTGCACTCGTGGTAGTAACGGCTGGCACAGAAACTCGAAGTACGATTTTTGCTTTCGAGTTCTGTTTACACGGAGACGTTCAATATTGAAAGGCGAGGCGATTATCGCTCACGTGGACGGTCGATAATCGCAAATGTTTAGACGAGGAAAGTTTTTTATATACTTCCGATAATCGTATCTTCGAGACGATAAACTCTCTCCATCTAAATGGGCCTTTAGTGTTCGGATGAGCTACTCGCCTGACTGAAAAGCCTTTTAGCAACACGTAGCAAATGTTGGCACTTCTGTTTCATTGTGCATTCGTATTCATAAGCAATAGCTTTTTTCATGGTAGGCCATACGAACCTGAAGTATTCAAAACTAAATTATAACAGGTAGTACGAGTAACAAAATTAATTTTAGTGTAGGTATCTGTCCTTTTTTGCGGAGACAGGCAAATCGTCGCCTTACTTTCTGAAACTCGTATCTTAAAGTACAAAGTTACTGAAATGCAAATAATGGACTGTATATACTAATTTTGCAGACTGATTTCACATTACATTTCCTTCATATTCACACGTTAAAGTAAAACATCCAAATTAACACGCTAGAAATTTAAAATAAATATAAAGTTTTGCCATCTCCTGAATAATCACTCCAAAAGATACGAGCTTGAGAAAGTAAGGCATCGAAATGCATCTTTACTTATTTTAAATTAATCTCATAAACAACTTTACATGTTTATTACAGACCAGGTTCTACAACTTTTGAATTTTCCATTCATAAATCTATCAAAAACTGATGCAAGTTCCTATGAATGTAAAAAAAAAAATATTCGTAAAACAAAAATCTATGTACAACGAAAAATAATAAAATGCAAATATTAACTACGTGGTACAAATCAAGAGCATATCAAGCTTGACCCTTTGTACTTTGAACCGTTCTTATCATAAGTGGCATAGAGTCGGTTTTAAGTCTTCAAGTGTCAAGCTTCACGTGCTCTTGACCCTGTACCACGATGTCAAGGTAAGATTCAAGCAGCCAAATTGCGATTGAACACGCCTGCTAAATGTAATGACTAGGGCCCGGATAAATATGTAATTACATATATTTTGTCTACACACATATCATAAACTCTCTATTATGTGTTCAAAAACCGCAAATTACGACCAGCATAAAGGTAAACAAATTTCATATCTGTGAAAATGTTATTATTGCTTCAGAACATCGAATTCACACACGTTACTTGATATCGAACAATATGATGTTGGGGCCGATTCTAGTTTGTCTATGAATTAAAAATAAAAATATTTGCCGCCATTTCGCCAGTCGTAATATCCGGTTCCGAACACATACAGAGAGCTTATAATATGTGTGTAGATAAAGCAGTGTATGTAACTGTACATAATTAGGCATTAAAACACTTGACATGTTTTTATGAAAATCACCTGTCGGCTCGTTTCATAAACCCTCACAGGTACTTTAATGTCTTTCATTATGTAACAGTCACATTAACTACTATTTTATTTCAATAATTGATGTTCGTTAATTTGTTTTCTACATAAATAATGATTTAGAATAAAAAAAGTTACTTTTATTTTCCATATTTTTCCATATTTACAGGTTTAGAACATATTTCTACACGAAACTTGCAATAATCCATATTTTCAATAAGGGTCGTATTCCGGAACTTTACTCAATGCTCAAGTCAGGATTTGAGTGTGATTTCTAGTGCTATAAGTCATAATCAAGTTCTGACTTGAGCATTGAGTAGAGTTCTGGAAAATGACCCTAAGTTATATTTTATTATATTAAAAAAAAATAAAAGTGCCTGTGCGCTTAAAAAAAATAACAGGTTATCAGCATCTCTCTTTAGAACATAAATAGCCTGATAAAAAATGTGTAAAAATTTTTGCTCGTTTATTCGTGGGGAATGTCGATTTTGCCTTATTAAATAAAAATGCCAAGTTACTTTGGACCCTAAAATAGTGACGCTAAGGTTTATATGACAATGTTTATGTTATTCCCTTAGAATAATAACGCATAGAATGATCGTTTCATATCAAACGAACTGTCACAAGTGAGGCAAAAATCAAATTTATGTAGGCTAGTTTTAGTAGTAGGTTAATTTTCGGTCTAACAGGACTTGTTTAATTTTAAGTATAACTGGGAACCGGAAGGAAGAGTGGAAAGGATTTGACAAGATGGATTGGAGGCAACTTTTGGAATCAGTAAAGATGATGGAATTATTGAGTTTATGGGACTCGACATAAGGCGATTGCTTCACCAGTAAATACAGAAGAGTAGGATGAGCATCTGAACCTTAAACCTATCTTAGCAGAAGGGATCCATACTGCTGCTCCTACGGAACTTACTGCTGAAAGTTTTAAAGCATCAGTAAATATGCAGCGCCATCCGGAATAGTCGGAAGCGATCCTATGGTTAAAAATCCCTCGAGAGTCAACGGAGTCCTCTATGTCAAAGTGAAGGAGAATGTTGGGCTGGAAAACAAGAGCTTCATAGGAAGTGCAATAAAGAGGATTGCGAGGAAACTGCTTGAGTGGGGGAGGGAATTGGGTGAATTTAATAAAGCTCTGAAGGAGTATTGCATAGTCTGTTTTTTTTTAGACTGAACAAAATGACATTTGCCAATTTTCATAAAATTGTTGCTGACGATAGTTTTATCTATAGATTGTAAAAAAGAAGAAAAAATTAAAAAAACAATTTTATTTAGTGAATATTTATATAAAAATACAAGTTGAAACGCGTTACTTCCTTGTGGAATGTGATGTTAGTATCTATTTTATGTTTGCCTGACGTATTGTTACACTCATTTACCGCACAATTCGTCATTTTTAGCTAAAATTCTTGATCTGTTCGCGGTGCAAGTTGACCTTGAGCATTGAAGGCCCGCCCGCTCGTGTAGGCCCTTTTGGCGCGCTTCAATTTGCCTCACTTAGCGTGTGCGGACTAGGTTTCTATGCGTTATTATTCTAAGGTTATTCCTTAATATGGCCAGGATCCAATTTAACTTGTATACCCTTTAATTTAATTTACAACGTACAAGAAACACTCATATGTGAGATTGGCGACTTGTTCCTCCGACACTTTGGGAGCGACCACGCACACAAGGATGGAGAACGGTTTGTCGTAAAATGGCAATATCATCAAGCGAATTTTTCGATCTAATTTTGTTTCACTATGAAGAAACTATAAACAAACCAGAATACCATTACTTTTTCTTCATTACTAATAACCATTTTCTTCCTTAACGAGAATACGTATTCAACTTAGGCTGAAATTTACGATGCGAACTTTGACTTCGATTAAGCAAAAATGGCGAGTTAAGCAAGTTTTCCGTATTAAAAAAACGAAGTTTGCCTAATTGAGTTCCTAGGTATGTTTTCGAGATTGTTTTGTTACACATAGGAATTTAAACTATTCCTTTCTTTGGATCTAAAGCGCATACAGGTTTCTTTTTTAGCTACAACTAAGGGCGCGTACAGATCTGGCGAATGCACCGCAAATGCGCCTGTTTGCGAAAGACTCGCTAGCTGCACGCGTGGATTATGTTTTGTTCGCATGCCGCTCGCGCGCCACACGTATAATAACATGTATTTAACAGTACGCTTGCAGCACGTTCGCGGTGCATTCGCCAGTTCTGTACGCACACTTAGGCAAAGTTCGTTTTGTAAATATGAAAAACCTGCTTAACTCGTTGGCCACTAAATCGATGATTACTTAAGAGCTGTTAAGTGATTGTTTACACTAGTTAAAGTTTACTTAATTACTTCGTCAGTTAATATAGATAAACTAGTCACTATGAAAATGCATGTGATTGGTGCGTTAGACTCGGCACAAGGCACCCTCACAAATATAGGAAAATATAACTCACAGGTTTGACTATTGCCTGAAAATCATTCCCTGTAGTGTTTAATAACACGAATTGTTCCATACCCGACTTCAACATCTCGGCAAAATTCGGTGTTACCTGTTGCAAGAAGCAAAACAATACCGTCATAGCCTCAGATTACAAAACAATAGAGTCACAGCCATCATCGAGTGGAAAGCGCCAAAGTAACGCGACTGAATTCCTACGATGGGGTAATAATGGTATATGTATATCGTATCCTTGACCTACAAACCATAAGTGATCACTCGTCAAAAGTGCTTTTATCACAATAAAAGTCACAAAAATAGTAAATAACGAACTATACATGAAACAAATTATATATATCGTCGCCTCAGAGCATACGATCTCAAACTTTTTGGTTCTACGCCACTTAGGCAAGATAAATAAATTTCAACGCCCACTGCCTCAAAACATAATTGACAACCATTCCAACTATTAAAACACGTATTTTTTATATTACCTTAACACAAAAAAATCATAAGGAAAAAATATATATTAGTAGCACCTGGACAGAATCATTAACGCCCCCCAATAGCTTCCGAGCCCCTACCTCTCCCTCACTACTACCTTACCCTCTAAGACTCTTCAGCGACCACTGGAGGGCGGTAAGGGCCTCGGAAGCTATTGGGGGGCGTTAATGCTGTGCAGGGAAACTATGTCTTATAGTGAAAACCTCGCATAGCCCCGCACTAGGGAAACCCTGAGTCGCGGGTGCCATGGACACACACATAGACAACCACAAATTACATCCAAACTCACGGGAGAAATAAATGTTGCCATACAAATATTTCTCCCGGCCCGGGATCGAACCTGGGACCTCTGCGTAGCAGTCCGGTATGGTAACCGTTCGGCCACAGAGGCAGTTTAAAGTAATATAGTATCTGAAAGAGGTAGAATTTAACTAATTAAAACATTATTGCGTTTACTACATTGTAACCGACTTCAAAAAAAGGAGGAGATTTCAATTCGATCTTTTTTTTTGTATGTTGTTACGCGATAACTCCGGTATTTGTGTACCGATTTTCATGATTCTTTTTGTATTGGAAAGAGGGTACCTCCATAGCGGTCCCATATAATTTTGAAGAAAATAATCCATCCCTAAGGGTGGCTGTACGCATGAAGATTAATTTTTATAAATAGCGCCTAAATTTTAGTTTAAGGAATAATTATTTTAATGGTTGATTTTGCTATTCTTTAATTCAAAGCGTTTTCCTCTCTCAATATACTTTGAAGAGTGAGAACCGATTTTTATTATCTCTTGTGTCAAGTCCCGTACAGTGGCGAAATAGGGGATGAATCCGGGTTTGCGCACTTTCCGGTAACCGATTTCAATAAAACTTGGTAATTATATGTAATTTCACGTACTTTTGAGGTCGACTTTTTTTGTACTCTCTACTGAGATTATTGACCACATTTTTACCTTCGTCCTGAAAAATTGCATGGATATCACATATGAGATATTCACTCTAAGACGACGATATGTGAAATTTGTAAAATTTTACACGCCTGTTTAAGCATAAAAAATTCACTAATATTTTCGTTCGTGGACTCTTTAAGCTTCTCTTCTGAAAAGTTGTCATTTTGCAGGTTACAGCAATGTAGGTAAGTGTTTATCACTAGGTACTTGACTTTCTTCCTCATACAGCACCAGTTGCATGCTATTGTTTGCAAGTATATCTACACTTTAGAGAAAATAATACTAATAATAATATTACATTTACATTACAGAAAATAATAATAATATTACATACACTAATTCTATATATGTGGTCCATTCTAAAACGTGAAACACACAGAAAGCAGGTGCAGGTCGGGCGCGTATCGGGTCGGAAGCGCGGCGTGTCTAATTCCCTATATTTACATGGACGACAACAAACCACGCGCCCAGTCCGCTCCGATTCGCTCTCTGTGTGTTTCACGCTTAAAACACACAATCTGATATTAAACAAAATGTTTACGTTGTTACTTCGTTACGCTAAATGGATGTCTGCTTCTAATTATTTATCTATGCACAATACTGAGGAAGCAACAATCGTTACTAACTTCTATTTTAATTTTCCGTGAAAGAGGTGTGATTCCTACAGCTTCGACGTACGCTTCCAGTCGTTCGCTATGAACTACGACCATCAGCACCAATTCTGCCTCACATTCTTCTTTTAACTGCAAATATTCGGGAGTAGACAATAATTAATACAGGACAGTAATGTGTTGTACACACTTTTGGCGGACATACACGCTACGGTATACTGGAGAGGTGTACCTGTTCAGGTCTACCTATGTAGGCAGATCAGAACGTGTGTTGGAACAGACTTGTGCAGTTTTGTGTACCTGCGCAGGCCACCGGCGGCGGCGCAAGGTTGAAAACCAATTCTTTTGAGTGATACCGTACGGTGAACTTGTGCGTGTGTGCATGAACTACAGTCGCCTGCGCAGGTCGCGCTGTTTGATTTCTAGCTACGGTAATAGTGTAGTCGTGTCATTCGCATCATACTGCAGTGCGTAATAAAAACATCCGATTCAACTAATAAGAAAATACATGAGGAATTATCGCATCGTCGTCTTCAATCCATGCCATATCCAAAGTAACTGAAGTCCTCTCCGGATAGTCCCACATACGCTACGACAAGCTACGCAGGTATTTCTGCACAGGTGGACGTCTCCGGTATACCGTAGCGTGTATGGCCGGCACAAAGACATTGTGGCCTCTTTTTTACATTTTACGTTTAAATACTTCAAATATTGCAACTCATTTCCATATCATTGCATGTACGTCAGCAAAGCTTTTTAGGAGTTATAATAAATATTGAAAACACACGTCTATACCTACCTACTTCAGCTATCAACAGTGAAATATTTATGAATTTGAACAGTATACATATAAAAAGACAGATACTAACATAACTGTTGATTTTGTTCTGCAAATGCGAACATAATTCGACTTCCAGGCTCATGACTAGATTTAAAATTTTCCCTGGGTCACTGTTTTGAAGGGTTTTACGCCTAATTCTTTTTTGTGATAACATGGTTCTTAATTAACTAAATATTTATAATGGAAGTATAAAAATTAAATTATGTTAACGTATATATTTTGATTCTGTAAAGCCGCCTTTGCAAACTAACAGCAATTTTTTTGTTCTTGGCTTTTTGGCATATTAAATACAGACTGTGTGCGTCATTTAGACGGATTATTTTGATTACGAATTTTACATAAAGTCAATGAGGCTGAAGCCCGTTCTTTTTTTTTCAATCCTCTAAGGGCCCGTTTATTAAAATCTGTTTTAGCTATTGTTTGAAAAACCCCAACTCATGGATAATACTGCACTCCTTGTATCCGAACACGTATTAAATTATCTGTTACAAAAAAAATTAAAAAAAGGAAAACAGCTGATGACTGATCAAAAGTAAATTTTATGATATTTTCTGGTTTTTGACTTGAATAACAGCAATAAACAGATAGGAAAGATGGCAGAAATTCAGACACTTATAGAAATGGGGTTCCCGAAGGAACGAGCGTGAGTAAAAGTACTTCAAAACTAAACTTCACTGTTGATAGGTTAAGATTAAGTGTTATTAATGTTGTTTTCCGGTTTTAGAGAAAAGGCACTTGCGGTAACTAATTATAAGGGGGTTGAACCGGCGATGGAGTGGCTGTTGGCCCATGCGGATGACCCTGCGATGGACGCGGGACATACTATTGGATCTAGCTCGAGCACCGAAGACGTAGGTATAACACAGCCCCAGTCTTCTTCCAGTAGCGAGACTGTACCTGAAGCGAAGTCTTTGAAGTGCGAAGATTGCGGCAAATTGTTCAAGAGTCAAGAGGAAGTTGAATATCACGCGGCCAAGACTAACCATAGCAACTTCTCCGAGTCGACAGAGGAAAAGAAACCACTGACTGAGGAAGAGAAGAAAGAGCAGTTAGCGCTGCTTGAGGAGCGGATGAAGCAGAAGAGAAAAGAACGCGAGGAGAGGGACAAGGTTTGTACAATTCTCTTAATCAAAAATTTTTTTCTTTATTTGGATATAGTTATGCGAACAAGAACCAACCCACACCTCAAATTAAATTGAGTTATGTATTTAGGTAGAACATCAGACATGTCCTTTACCCGCTCACAAAAGATTCTGGCAATATACCAAGCCAAAAAGGAGAAAATAAAAGTCCTTCAGGGTACCAACCCTAAATAAGTAACTTTTTAATAGCTAAAAAGAACCATGCTGCTTAACTTCATATACTTCTTGCGTAGTACACGTGACAAATTTTACAATCGGTTTCATTTTAAACTAAATTAGTTCTATTTTGTTTGTTGTAAATGTTGGACACTACATTACATACACTTATCACTGTATATACATATCATTATTTAAGTATTCTATACATATAACTGAACACAACACACTACATTATAGAAATATTTATGTAATTTATTTAAGTTTACTCGTATATTCGCGACACACACGTCCGGTACTCACTCAGTTTTAGGGCCCACTGAAAATCTGCGTCACAGCCTTTTCTCGGAGGTGACAATAGCTGAGTGGAATCCTGTTACATACTGCACAGCCGCGCACATGCCATTTAATCTAATTGTGTTAAATATTTAATATTTGCTTTGTTGTTGTGTATGATTTTATTTTTATTCCTTTATTCCTGTTAGTTTTATTTTTATTTTTTGTTTTAATGTAGGTTCATCTTTTTGTTTATCTTCAATAAATTACTGTGTATATTTTTGTTGTGGCGTAGTAATAAACGATTTCTATTCTATTCTATTCTATATAATGTATTATTTAAAATATGCTAAATGGATCCATGTCACATGTACTGAAGTACTGTAGACCTTTAGCGTTTTCATTACGAAAACTAGAACAGGGTTCTTGTTAACTAAATAAAAAGATACATAATGTTTTCTATTTATTGCTATATAATATAATAGTTTCTCTATAATATCATTCTCAATGCTACACATAACTCACGTTGTTTATCTCAAATAACTTACCTATTTATTTCTTCACACTGTTTTTACAAAAATCTAATTATCTTGAGTGACATTTTGTGGGTTGGTTCTAAGTTGCAACTATGTTCATATAAAGAGCTTTGTCACAAAAAAATATTATTTAGTAAAGGATTTTTCAACATTTCGCTTACGCCCTTTCTACAAAACACCAACTAATGATATATATCTTCATTCGCGTTAATACAGTGATATTTGGCTCTTCATTTCTCATCATCACATCACGCAAACTTACTTAATGAAATATATCTAGAGCGAAGCTGTAATTTTATTTATATATTTATAGCTTTTATACCAATTAACAAGAATGAACTTATAATCATCAAATGTCACATCAAACCAAAAATCATCTTCCCATGCAGTTTTCCTTTTCCCCCTCTCTTGGATACCATTCCATGGTATCTTTTGTCCATTTATAAATTTTTTAGTCTTTAAATTGTTTTTAATTGTTTTATTTTACTTCTCCTTTCAATTTTATTTTGAGCACACTTCTTTCCATACTATTCTGATAAACATCGAGTTTTTTGTAATGTTTTTAGTAAGTGACCATGACTGGCATCAGAGCGGAGGTGTAACACTATTTACTAATTATCAAAAGTTATACTTGTTAATATAATAATATAATTAAGTCATGTCCTAGTGTAGGTTATTATAAATATTAGTATTGAAAGATAAGCAGGTAGCAAAGCATGCCTATAGCAGAGCTAGAGACAATCAAAGTGTCAATATCGTTCAGTGCAGCAAGCTATAAGTTTTACATACACTTTAAATTTATTTCTTACTAGCTGTACCCAGTGTATTGCAACACCACTGAAAGACTATATCTTTTAACTCTGTAAAAGATGGCCTCATCGCTCATCTAACTGACGAGACCTATACCGCCCTGCTAAGCCGATAGGCACTATATCTGAGACACGCTCTTTTAGTTTTTTTTATGCCATTTAATAGCTATAATAATTTCGCATCTAATGGTATAATAGAAATAGTGCTATCTAACTTAAAAGATTTAAAAAACTACTAAGAAGTATTCTTATATCTCATTTTTTTCTTATTGCTAATACATTTGGCGGCTTTCTTTATAATCAAAATAGCGGTATCTCACAAAAAAGGTATAACGGCAAAATTTATGAATAATTGAGGTATAGGTATAATTTAGAGATTTATTTTTGAAGGTGCGAAAATACAATTTAAAAAAGAAAGTCAATTTCTCCAAACTTACTCCAATTGAGATAGCGCTTTTCGGCTTATCAGCGCAGTGTACCCAGCAGTGGTATCTAACATTTCAAAAACCATTGCAGATGTGGACTCAAGTGCTCATGAAAGTTTAATCTAAATCACATAAAATGGAATACATGTGGGACAGATATAACGAAAATAAATTTTTATATGCACACATATAAAGGCTAAAATGTGATTGTTTACAAGTCTCCAAATGCTATCTTCCTGATTCTTTCATCTTGAATATAATATCTGGTGTCAAGAAATAATTAAATTTTATATATGTCTTTTCAGGCTGAGGCACTAGAACGAGAGCGCCTACGCATAAAATCCGGTAAAGACATGCAAGATGCCCGCCAGAGACTACAAGAGCAGGAAATGAAGAAGCTAGTCGAACAACGTCGTCGAGAAAAGATTGAAGACCAGAAAGCTAGAGAGAGGGTCCGAGCACAGATTGAAGCAGATAAACAAGCTAGAAAGTACGTCCAAATTTATTAAACTTAATTTACTATATTTTTAATAGCTTAAATTAGAATTATGATGATCCCATACATACAACCACATAAAAAATACATTTTACTAAATGGATTTTCAAGAGCATTCAAAGACGTACAATAGTGTTATATAAAGCACACATAGCCCCGCACTAAGGAAACCCTGTATCGCAAGTAACATAGACACACATATAGAAAACCACAAATCAAACCCAAACTCACGAGAGAAACAGGTAGGTATTAGGCCATACAAATATATCTCCCTCCCGGGAATGGAACCCGGAAGCTCGGCATGGCAGACCAGCATAGTAATTTTTTGAAGAATTGAATTTTTGGAGAATTGTCATTCGGCCACGGAGGCAGTTATAATAATATATTTATATAATAATGCCTAAATTACCTGTTATGACTACATTTGACATGTTGGGATATTTTTTGCACTTAAATTTTGATCTTGTAATTTCAGACTAGCTGCATCAGGACAAACTGCACAGTTACAAGAGCCAATCCCCGCGCCCGTACATCCTACGTCCAATCCCGCATCAGCTCTCGCCTCCGCTGCTGCAAATAAAGCGCAATACGACCAGGCCCGCATCCAGCTACGATTGCCCGATGGAAAGGCATTGGCTCATACATTCAGTGCTAAGGAGCAATTGGCTGCTGTCAGGTATAGCACCACTAATCAAAGTGGATGGAGATAATCATTCTTCAAATACATTGAATTGTGCATGGTTAAATACCAATACTTTTTACTTTTAACTAATCAAATACAAATTAATTATTTAGTCGGCCCTTGTCATAAAAATACATAATTTGTAACCTATCAATAAAATAATCTCCCAATATCTCTGGGGCATACTGGATCACTTTAAGAGGGAGCATGCCAAAAAAGTTTTGACCTTGGCTCCGCCCAAATTTGTGAAACAAATGTATGCCTGAAGTTCGCGTGACATGCGACAGGAGATGTTGAATTTTGCGCATGAAAAGTACCAAATTCGTTTTAGCGGAATAACTCTAAAACTAAAGGGACTAAAAAAATCCGTAGTGACAGTTGTCGATCATGCATAAATATAATTAACTATCTAATTTTTGTCCTAATAACCTAGCATGTAGCATATCGAGGATAAATCGAAAAAATGTGATAATTATTATTATTGTTTTATGTTTCTGATTAATGTCTATAACTACTTGAATATATTTTTCAGACTGTATTTGCAAATGAACGCTCAAGAGTTCGCGCAACAAGATAGTTTCAAACTTATGACTACTTTCCCAAAGAAAATATTCACCAGCGAGGACTATGAGAAACCTTTGGAGCTATTGGGTAAGTTTCAGTTTGGTTATCTATTTTAGCCCACAATACTTTAATGAGCTTTGTGTTTGTTTTATCTTTCTCACAATGTGATAATTATGAGTAATAGAGAACAAGTTACTAAGCTGTACTCTGACCTAGAATCCAAGAGATTTTTGTAAACATAGGGGTTACTGCACCAAAAAAATACCTTCCAAATAGAAGTTTACTCAATTTGTCTAAAAACATAAGTTAAGGTTTATTTTCTAGCTAAAATCCATAGAAGGGAAAATTTGATTGATTTTGACGTATTTATTTTTGCGAAGTCAATTTTTTTGACAAATCTATAAAAAGATGAAGAAGCATTGGTAGAAAATATTTTACTCACTAGTAGCAGAAGTTCGAAACAATTTTTGGTTTTGGCAGCTTTTCGTCATTGTCTCTCGTCGTTACCTAATTCGAACGTGTTCTTTTTTCGCTGCGCGTATGCAATAGTGCATTGTTGACGTTTTTATGTCTTACCCTTTTATTATCTGTTATGTACAGTACGCGCGAGTTGAATGCAGAGCTAAGGAATGCGCTAGTGCTGTGCCCTAATTAGTAATAAGTGATAGTCATCTCGATAAATCACACCCAAACAAACTGGTATAACTGGTATAAATATTTTAAAAATATTTTAAATATCGTTAACATAATAATAAAACAAAATTTTAATTTTCACACATTTATACTTTATTTATTTCTTAAAAGGAGAAATAAAATCAACGAAATTTAATCGCCATCTGATTCTAAAATGACAGTCATGTCAGAATCGGTGTCACTCGCTCAATCACGAATCGAACTATAGTATCTTCACGTAATGTATCTCTTTGCCAATAATTTTCCTTTAAAATGATTACGTGATAATGAAAGCCACGCCAATCTTCCTCTGTAATCTGACCGAGTGCCAGCTCCGTAACCTCTTGTAGTCTTTTTAAGGATAAATCGGAATTCACATTGTGTCGTCTTACTACTTATCCTTTTTAATTTTGCCCATGCCAACTCAATTGGGTTGAGGTCGCACATATATGGCGGCAGTCTCACTACGACATGGCCATGACTCCTGATGAATTCGTCAATTTTGAAAGATTTTTCAGGTTTATGCAACTCAATCAAATGAAAGAGCTCATCCTTTGTCATTGTAAGTGACGCTTCCACATTATTTTTGTTTAACCATTCCAACATTACCGGTTTGGTGCAGGACTTCGTGGGGACTTTATTTTCTTGTACGCTATGATATGGTGCGTTGTCCATCACGAGGACGCTGTTCTGTGGCAGATTAGGGATCAACATTTCAGTGGTCCACTTTTCAAAATGTATACTATTCATTTGCCCGTATAATCACTGATGCAGTAACCAGCTTTAAAAAGTAACTTCGCGTTGCTTAAAAAGCCACCTCTCGATCCTGCGTGAACAAGAATGAGCCTGTTTGTGGAGCTGGTATCCGTCAACACTGCACCGATCTTTTCATTTCTCCAGCATTTTTTAAAAGTGAGGTTATTGTCAACCCACGTTTCATCTGAAAAGAAAATATTTGGATCGTCTTGTCTATATTTACGTATTTTTCTCAAATATATTGACCGAGCAAATACGACAGCTGGTCTTTCCACCAAAATACGACGTTTATTATAACACTTTAGCCATTTACATCCCATGTCTTTTAATAATTTTCTTAAACTTGTCACTCCTCATGGAAATTCAATTTTTTCTCTAATAGCTGCCAGACGTTTAGGACAAGTAGGGACATTTTTTTTTGTTAAATAGAATTCTATAGTTTGGTGTATTACACTTCTATCAAAATCATCGACGTTTAAATTTTTGCTTTTGTTATACAATCTCCCTTTTTTAGAAGGCGAACGAAGAGCTTTTTTTCTTTCTTTCTTTAGCTTCTTTTTTAATTCCAGCTAATGTTCTTTTAGATAGTCCAGTATAACCGCTCGCTCGACCGAAAGAATCGCTTAAGGGCAAGGTCAAAAAGTTATTCTGCCTTTCTTGAGTACACATATCCAGAACTTTTTTCGCCATTTCCCGTGCTTGACGATGAATAAAGACACGTTTTTTTATATCAGAACATAAAGGACTCCGATCAGTCATTTTTAAAAACAAAAATAACACGAGACGCCACTGGAGTACACTACCGATATGCGTATGATGGATATCAAAGACAGCACTACACTGAGGGCGTGCGAAGCGAGGCGTGCGGATGTCGAGGAGAGGCGCTACCTCCCCCCGCTACTCACGTCAGACCCCCGACTGCATTCAACTCGCGAGCGTACTGTACCTGTCACTTTGACAGTCACATATCATGACATTGCTTTGTTTACAAAAAATCTCTTTGATTCTAGGATAGAGTATAGGTACTTAATATTTGAAGCTGTTGCCAATGAACATTGTATACAGGCAAGTCGAGTAGAAAAACTGCCAAATGCACCACCTGTTATTGTACTACGTATTTGACGATTTTCTTTTTCTTTATAGGTCTGGTACCCTCTGCAGTAATTATAGTATCAAAGGGGCAGTAAAATATCTAAAACTCAATGCCAGTGTGAAGTTGATTCGACTAGGTGACTGATATGGGACTGGGCACAAACAGTCGTGAACATTATAATGGTACAATTAATTTTGTGTATGTATATGCTTTTCATTACTTGGGAAGTGAATAAAACAATTTCGAACTTTTTACATATTTATTGTTTATAGAAAATTGACTACCTTAGTGTAATAATTCGGTGTGCATGCCTATTTCAAGTAAATAAATATAATTTCTGTTATATAGTTATAGTTTTAAAATAAAGAGGATACTTAACGTTGTAGTAAATTAGCAAAATATATATCTATAAATAATTAGGTGATCTGTGTCTGGTATAGTGTTGGGTGCTGGGTCATGGAAAAATGTCCATTTTGAAAAAATCATATTTTTCAAAAAAAAAATAATATTTCTCCGGGTGTTTTTATCACTACACCACACCTTAGACCATATCTTTAGGCACTCTCATCACAAATTTTCCTTTGTATGTAATCATCAATGGTCGGAAAAAGATGTTCCATATATAATATAGATACATGGAGTGACATAGAGTTGTTAAAACCACCAAATATTAATTAATTACTTTCTCCGAAAGAAACACCTCTCCTTACTTTATTTGTGAAGATACATACATGGGTAGTGCCGTCAAAACTGGCACTTTTTGTCTCGTTTAAACATTCAGCAGTATTTTTTTAAAGTATTAAAATAATCTAGTGTGAATATTTTCCTTTTAAAATCCAACATTTCTGCTAGTGGTTCGAATTTATGAACTTCTGTTCTACTGTTTTTTAATTTAAATAAAATGTTTTTAGAGCGCAATCACGATATCCAAAAATTGCCCTTGTAAATATTTTATTTTCTTAAGTTCTACTACAAAATGTCACCGTTCCATCAAGGTGACCGTCAATATGCGTTATTTAAAGCTAGGGACAGGCGGAGAGTGACAATTCTCGTAACTTTTTTACTTACTATTCTGGTTAGAGGTCAGTTATATAGTACATTTTTTACATGGCACCATTAGAATTTCTTTAAAATCCAACTTGGACGTCTTAGGTCAGTAGTTTTGTCCTATGATGCAGGACAACCATTTTCGAAAATCCGGAATTCGAAACAGTAATTAATTAATATTTGGTGGTTTTAACAACTCTATTTCGCTCCTTGTAGCTACATCTATACAATATGTATTTATATATGTGGAACACCTTTTTCCGACCATTGGTACTCATATTATTATATAACCATGCTATTTATCACTTGTCACAAATCAAAGAAGAACGTTGCTAGTTCAGTAAAAAAAAACGTTAGTTCAGTAAAAACAAAGTTTCTTTGAGTCATAATTTTTTAAAATTATACCAGCTATCTTTGACCCTTATAATTATTTTAAAAAAAGTACTAAGTACACTGGGCAAGTTTATTTTATGAATAGTTTTAAATACAATTTCTTCATACCTGATTCAATTCATTATACTCATATATACATGGTCAAGAGCATGACATGCTTGACACTTAAGACTTAAATACAACTCTATGCCGCTAACGATAACGGTCCCAAGTCCAAACTGTCAAGCTAGACTGTACCTATAATAGTATGGAAACTTTATTCTTGCAAATTAGTAGTAGGTATAGAATGAAACAGGTTTTGCATTACAGTATTTGCTGTGTCACTTCCTACATTAGCACATTACAAGAGCGTGATTGGCGCAAGAAGCGACATGGCGAGAATAGCAATATGTCGCGCTTCTATACAGTTCGCATATCGCTCAAGGCTCGCCCCATCGTACTAGCGCTGCAGATTATCCCTTTTTCAAATACCCTCACTCGCTACGCCACCGATAGACTTCTAACAGAAAACGCTTAGTGACAAAGGGTCGTATTCTAGAACTCTACTCAATGCTTAAGTCAGAACTTGAGTATGATTCAAAGTACTAGAAATCATACTCAAGTCCCTGCCATTAGGGTCGTATTTCCAGTGGTTGTGTTGCCAGTGCAATCCTGACTTGAGCATTGAATAGAGTTCTAGAATACGACCCTAAGATCATAATATTATAATAATCTGTCATAATATAATAATAAATGTACACCAAATATATAAAAGTATATTGATTATTTCAATTACATTTTATTTCGCGTGTGACACATTTCGACAAAAACTGTTCATTTATTATTTCTGAGAACAACGATTGCGTTCAATAACACTAACATTCCAAAAAAACACTTGCGATTCATATAAATAAGACACGCCAATTTATATATTTTATTTATTATTGACAATTTCTGTGGAAGCGTAATGTCATAAACATCGTTCGAGGTAAATAACTGCCTCCTCATAATTTTTTTGTGCTAAATTAAAAAAGTTAGGTAATGCTATATTTAAAGCACTTCCTGTTCCTTCAATAGAATTCTTAATATAGAAAACATGCGTACAAATTTAATGTTAATAAATAAACATAAAAAAACATCTCAAGATAGTGGTTTAATGCCTACAAATAGAATAGTTTCGTAGAAATTATTAATATATAGCTCTCCCAAAAAAGTAACAGTCAACATCATACTGGCCTTGACGCTTTGGACTTTTCATAACTGGTATAAAATGGAATTTAAGCGTTAACTGTTAAGGGAGCGTATATACAGACACGAGAAAAATTAAATTAACTTATTAAAACAACAACAAAAAATGGATACACAAATTACAGTTAGGCTGGTTCTAAGTGTCTGATAACACCGCTTATGTTTAGTGCAGAAATACCTACTAATAATAGACTCCAATCTGACCACTAGGGTCAGCGTACCTTGCACTCTAAAATCAGCATAACTTATAATGGAAGTATATTAAATTATATATATTAATATTAAATTATGACTAACTTTAGCAAAAGGTGTAAAATTAATCAATACTTTTTTTTAATTGACTAAGATTAAGATTTATGAATGAAATGACTAAAATTGTTAGCAACGTCTATACGTCATGGCAGGCATCATATTTTTTTACAAAATCTTTGCTTATTTTACAGCAATATATAATTATTATTATAGTATAACATTATTTTTTATATAGCATAATTGTTATGTTAAAAAGTCGTTACAAGTAGGTCTTGCTTTAGGAAATCTCCAGTTTCCGAAAGCACCCATCTTGCCTGTTCCTGCCGCCAAGCAGTAATGTTAGCATTACTGTTCCGGTTTTGAAGGACGCTGGTGAAATTACAGGCACATGGGACATGTCAACTTATGTCTCAGGGTGACAGTGGCTGTGCCCCTCAGATCTTTGCGATTTAAAGCTCTGAATGGCACTGCAACTGTCATGGACAAGCGTGTAGCTTACCACCAGGCGCACGACTTGTTCGTTAAGTCACTTGATAGAATAAAAAAAGCAAGCCCTAAATATATGCAGTGAAAGGAATTTGGTACAAAACTGTTTAGGTGCGTCCACCGCGAAAGCCTTGGTTTGAGGACAGCCCATTTTTTAGAAATGCATCGGTCTTGGCTTTTAGACTTCGTGTTGGCGACCTTCCCTTAAATAAGTTCTATCATGTAATAAAAACAACGGAATCTCTTTGCAAATTTTGTAACAAACTAGAAGATATGCTGCATGTGATGGAATCTGACCATTATGTGGCTATAACAAATCAATTTCAATTAGGGAATATTTGGCAGGTTGGGGAGTTAAAAGTTGTGTTGGGTGACCTGTTGGTCAAGAGGGCTAAAACTCTGTACTCGTATGTGAGGTCTTGCCTCTCACTAAGAGGTGACAGGATAGAGTAGAATAATCTACAGTGATTGACATCACAACCCAATATTGACACCGAAGTCTTACAGGCTTTATTTAAAAAAAAAGAAATACTCCGAAAATCCCGGTACCGGCTAAGTGCAAGCAATCCCAGTAAAGATATTATAGGTTCCTGGTACACTCGGTTGTAGCAAGGAACGTACATACCGAGCTGCGAGTAATAAACACCACCCATTTGCATGAACGAACCGAGAAAAACGCGCGTGTTGCTTTCCTGTTTTGTGATCATTTACAACGCATCATATGAAGTACTACATATATTAAAAAAGTAAGTACCAATGTGAATTCCGTAAATTTCATTGATTTCCTTACAATGCTACTGAATGTATTTACATTTATAGTCCTGAGTTATAATGATTTGCAATGGCCGTTGAAGAGGCTCTGGCTTCGATGATATATCATACCTTTGGCGACACTTTCTTCGTGCCAAATACAAAAGCGCAAAATGTAAAAATATGCATTGAAATATAAAAACAAACAACATAATAAGAAGTACGCATCACAATGTTGCTTTAACTTCAGAATCAGATCCTCATAGCAAAGTATTTTTTAGTTATAGGATTTAGGAACCATACCAGTACCATACAGTACCAAGCTAATCCCAGCACCGGGAATCGAAATTTTAAGAACCAGACTAATTCTGTAATCACTAGTTATGTTCACAAAAAAAAATAACTTTACTCTTGAAAACATAGAAATTGAATTTTGCATAAATATATATTATAATATTAAATATACTCTATTTTTCTGGATTATCTTTTAGTTTAGGAACTAGTTTCTTTTCATTTTGTACCTACTGATTAAAAGGCACAGATATTGAAAAAATGTTTCTTATAATGTAATTAATAAGTATGACATCAACTTTAATGTTACATTATTGAACAATTTGACACTTATAAGGGGTTTTTCAACAAGAACTTTGTTTTGTAAATCAAATAAAACAATAAATTTAGATGACAATGATTAAAATTTTTATTGTATTAAAAAAGTAAGGTTTTTCAATTATAAATGAAAAATGATATCTGATAAATATCCACAACGACCACAGTTACAGATGTCGATTTTTTCATCAAAGTTTTTAATCACTTTTTGACAAAATGGTGGGTCTATTTCGTTAATCACTTCACGAATTTTGAGGCTGCAATCGATTCGATTGGCTCCGTATAGACTGTCTTTAACATAACCCCATAAAAATAATCCAGCGGTGTTAAATTACATGATTGAGCTGGCCACTTAACGGCTGAATTTCGTGAAATTATCCGATCGGGAAATTTGGTTTGCAATAATAATTCATTGTTTCAGTGGCTGTGTGACTTGTGGCACCGTCTTGTTGAAACCACATGTTAGTGATATCCATATCGTAAATAATTGAGTTGTTAACAACTCTTGATAGCGTAATCCATTGACCGTAAGCGCATTTCCAGCCGAATTTTCGAAAAAAAAAACGGTCCAATGCCAACGGCACACGAAATAGACCCACCGTTTTGTCAAAGTGATTAAAAACTTTGATGAAAGAATCGATATCTGGAACTGTGGTCATGGTGAACATTTATCAGATATCATTTTTCATTAATAATTGCCAAACTTCACTTTTTTTAATACAATAAAAATTTGAATGATTGTCATCTAAATTTATTGTTTTATTTTTACCGACTTCAAAAAAGGAGGAGGTTCTCAATTCGACTGTATGTTTTTTTTTATGTATGTTACGCGTTAACTCTGGTATTTGTAAACCGATTTTCATGATTCTTTTTTTGTTGGAAAGGGGGTACTTCCATAGTGGTCCCATTTCATTTTGAAGGAAATCATCCACCTCTAAGGGTGGCTGTTCACGCATGAAGATTCATTTTTATAAATAGCGCCTAAAATTTCTTAAGGAGCAATTATTTTAATGGTTGATTTTTCCTATTATTTTATTTATTATTAGTTCTATTTCTCCAATTCAAAGTGTGTTTCTCTCAATATTCTTTGGGTAGTGAGAACCGATTTTTATTACCTCCAGTGTCAAGTCCTGTATAGTGGCGAATTTAAGGATATTTCAATAAAACTTAGCAAATAGAAGGAATTCCACGTACTTTTGAGGTCGGTTTTTTAGTACTCTGTACTGAGATTATGATTTACAAAGTTCTTGTTGAAAAACCCTATACTTATCTTAAGTAGTCTAAAATGTGAACCATTGTAACCAACTGATTAGCAAGTAAAATTGCACATACAAATCGTTGTTATTGTGTTGAAAAGCATCTTCAGACTTTGGATAAAGTATTGGTTCATCAATAATGCAATTTGTAAGCACTTTGGTATGAAACCCATTCATATACGCAATAGTTTGTGTTCGCATGTTCATTACTCCATCACAGTCTTTCAACTCAAGATTCTTATCTAAGCAAAACCGAATTTCAGAAAGCCAATTTTTACCATGTTCCCTCCGGCATTCTATCATTGGAGTGACTTTATAATGCATGCTGATTATGTTGAATAGGTCTTTGACTAAGTATTTTTTGTCATTAGATGGGTATACCTGGCGACTTTCCAATGTAGTTTGTATGTTGTATCTCTTAAACCATTCTAGACCTTTACTGAAATATTTTAATTCAGAGTTGAAAGCATCTAGTACTGCTGCGCACGTTCCATGTTTCAACCACTCATGGGCCCAGAGGGCATAAGTTGATGTTTCTGGGAAAACAATTATTATATTAGCACAATAGAATTTGTAACATGAGGATTAGATAGGTTAGATTGTACTTATTAATAACTTTTTTATGCTTGTATGTTACTGTAAATACCAGTCTGTGTGAGTTGAATCAGATTTCATAACAAATTTCATACAAGATATTTGTGACTACTTAAAATTTTTACCTGACATTCAAAAAATAAAACCTTTTTATTTGGTATGGCTTCACAAATTGCAGTAATGTAATAATAATGTATCAAATCAAGTATATGGTGGATAGTATATGGTGTCATGTATCGATGATTCGGAGTCCCAAGTTACATCACAGTGACATATCGCAGTAAGTGTAAATAAATAATTTGTGTTTTATAATATTGTTATATTATATTGTAATAATATGTTAGTCCTTAAGGTATAAATAAAAAAAAAACTTTTTGCTTATGATGTTACATGATAACACAATAATAAATAATCTATTCATGGACAGTCAAGCTATACACTTTAATTTGATATCACCTCCAGTGCAACAAAACAAGATCCGCCAATGTGTAGCTTAATCTGCTGCTGTCTGTACCTATATCTGTCCTTAAGAGTTAATTGATAAACAGACTTAAACACCCCATTCACTACCTACATGGAAGTTCACCGCGCAGTTAGGAGTCTGCTCATACATTCATTGACAACATTCATAAACATGCATTAAGCGGCAGACAGCTAGGTGTACTGCAATGCAGCATAATGAATGCTCCCTTATACTAATGTTTCTCTGTCGGTCGTTAATGCAAGGTACCAGCTTTACTAATGGAGTCGACCTCCATCATTTTTACAAGACTACCTACATAGTAATTTTCACTTGACAAATCATTGAATTTTTTGATGGGGCCGTAATATTTAAAGGAAGAATGTATGTCCTATCTATCACCTACAATGTAGGCCCTACATTATTGTAGTTAATAGAATTAGCGTCAGTTCCTCTTACCACTTTCAATATTCTTCCAATTCGAATTTAATTCCTTCTCTATAGGTTGAATGAGATTAGGATCAAAATGCCAAGTTTTATTACAAAAAGAAGGGCCCATAGTATGCAGCTTGGTGGGCCAAATCCCGTGTATGGTCCAAGCATTGGGATTGTCTGGCATTGAGCACTTGTGGTTAGAGTCATGGTCCTTCCACTCTCTGCATACTGTTACAGGCCATTGCTGAGTGAAAATTAACAAGTCCCAATCCGGTTCATTCAATTCAGGCAAAAATTTGAAAGGGCTAACTGTCGATCTTAAAGGGACTGCATAGCCAATACTTAAAAAGAAAACACTCGATTAATAAATTACACATCATACCTGCATATTGTAGAATCAAATAAGTAACAAATCGACTTTAGACCATATTTATAACATAAAATATGGGTACATAGAAACTATTGTTGACAAAGTGAAGTTACAATTAAAAGCAACTTTCAGATGATCAATTAAACTTACCTTATGATGAAAACTGAAATTGATAACGCTAAATAATGGCACCGCATTCTGCTCCACTTACGAAACAGATTTTGTCTTTAATTCCACTCTAATGTGACAAATTCTGTAGCTTTTGAACACTTACACAGTGCAAATTATTACTTTATTTTTTTTTTCATCCTCTAGGGTGCAAACGCAAATTGCAAATGGCAAAACAAAGTAAGTAAATCTCAATCTATGAAAGTAAATTTACCAATTTACCAACAACGAATCGCAAATTCGCCAGAACAGTCAGTCACGATTTTATTGCACAATTTGTGTATGTTCATATAGTAAGAAAGAGACAGCATTATTCAATAAATACAAACTTTGTACAACAGATGGCACTGTAGAACTTTTCACAGACTACAATCAGTCTCAAAAATGTATATTATTAAGTACGTACAAACACAAACGAATACTTTGGATTGCAAAGTATACTCGAAGATCCTGTGATTTAGACAATTGTTCTCCCAGAAGGAGTCGTGGTGGGTAAAAATGATGTACGGGAGTCGTAGTCGGATGAGTCCGGTGAATACCAGAAAAATCCGAAACCTTCAAAAAATGGACTGCATCAGGTGGGGCCTGGGCTGCGCGGCCAACCTATAACACCTACCGGCAAAGTCGTCAAACTAAATATGGCCGCCACCCTGGGCAGTTTCTACCGGAAGTGAAAAAAATTCGAAATTCGAAGAAACAAGATGGCCGCCATACAAATGGCGGAGCCTTAGCTCGGCGAGTATTAGAGATGGGCGGGGGGTCCTCGACCAAATGTCATGGAGGGCGGCAGGAGCCAACTGCCGGTGACAAAAATTTTTCAAAATAGCCGCCTCAAAAAAAAAGTCCCAAAAAAAAAGTCGTCTGATGCGGCTGAAATTTGGCATCCGGCCGTGTATGGAAGCCCATAATACGAATATGCGGTCGAAATTTTGATTTCGCATTTTCCAAGAGGGCCGCCATACATGTGAATTTTCTGCCCTTTGGCGTCGTTTTTCTCCCAGAAAAAGGGCGGGTGGGTAAAAATGACGTAGGAGAATTATGGTCGGACGGGTTTGATGAGTATCAGAAGGTAACGTAATCTTCGGAAAGTGCTCCGCATCAGGTCGGACCCCAACTGCCCGGCCAAAATATGCGTCTTGGCTCAAAATCTCCAAACAAATGATTATTCACACCCTGGGCCGTTTCTACGGGGAGTGAAAAAAATTCAAAATCCAGAAAACAAAATGACCGCCATACAAGTTTCGGCGACCAGTATCTCGGAAACTGTTGGAGATAGGTAGATCAACATGGCCGCCACACATTTTCTACCGTTAACTATGTTTCGAGGCCCATATCTCGGCGAATATTGGAGATAGATGGGAGGCGCTCGAACAAATGTCGTACAGAATAGTACGAGCTGACTGCAGGTAAGAAAAATTTTCAAGATAGCGGACTCAAAATTTCATTTTATTTTTCTTTTTTTTTTTGAAAATTTTCCAAGATGGCCGCCATACAAGTGAATTTTCGGCTTTTTGACCAGCATTTTACTTCCAAAAGAAGAGCGAGTGTGTCAGAGTGATGTATACGAATAATGGTTGGGTGAATTTCGTTATTATCAGAAAGTATCAATACCTTCGAAAAGTGCTCCGCATCAGGTAGGACCCCAGCTGCCTGGTAATAGTATACGTCTTGGCCCCAAGGTCTCCAAATGTTGGTCCACACCCTGGGCAGTTTTTACCAATAGTGAAAAATATTCGAAATTCGCAAAACAAAATGGCCGCCATATAAATTTCGGGGGACTATATCTCCGTAACTATTAGAGATAGGTAAGTTATGTTCAAACTAATATCGTAGAGGGCGGTAGGGGCTAACTGGCTGACTGAAAATTTCAACAGGCTGTTGAAATATTTTTTCAAAATGGCCGATTCAAGATGGACTCCATAAAAAAATAACTACTTAATCTTCGCAACTATTGATGATATACGAGTAGTATATAAGGATACGATTTGACGCTATTATACCAAATACCTGGATCCCTCCTACCCAAATATACCTGACTAAAAAATCACTAATGAAAGCAAAGCATTCACCAACCGACAGACGAAGTCTTTCCTATATTTAAAGTCACAAGCCTCACAAATAGCTCTCGCGGGCCGCTTTAGTGGCCCAGCGTAACATGCAACATCCAAGTCGACCTGGTCTTCTTGATAAACGGCCCGGTCAAAGCGTCAGAGATGGGTATATGGCTTTCAAACAAAACTTGTCAAGGACGCTGGTCAGGTTCTACCGGGATCAAAATTTTTCCAATATGGTGAATTCAAGATGGCCACCATACAAAATTGACTTTACTGAATCTTCGCAGCTGTCAATGATATACGACTGATCTGTTCTGAGATATTTAAGGATACAACGTGACGAAAACATACCAACTACCCCTACATGTAACTCAACTGGAGCAGTCAATAACCGTGCTCCCTCCCATCCAAACTCAACCAAAGAGGATTCTCTACTGAAATATGAAGTCCAACTCCCAATCAGTCACAAGTCCCAAAAAAAGCCCTCGCGGGCCGGCGCAACGCGCGCCATCTAGTTGTATATATAAAGCTACAAATCCTGACTCACTTAGAAAAATAGAACGCATACTTCCCGATATGGTGGAAAAAAGATATTTATAGCGTTGTACGCGGATAGGCTCCAAGGCAGAGAATCAAATATGAGAAAGCCTGATTGTGGAAAATGTAAACGAGTGATCAACGGTCTGCAAAAACTATAATACATTGTACACCTTGGTCAGTTTCTGCGGAAAATTAAAGTATGTTCGAAATTCAAATAAATTTCGTCTTTAGGAGTTCTTAATCATAATTTGGGGTCAAACGTTTTTTTTGCCATTTTTTAATATGGCTGCCATACAAGTATTATTTCCGTTAAAAATAGCTGCCGAAAGAGACTCGCTCTGTTTGTTTTATCGAGGCCTCTAGAAGTGCCATATAATAATTTGTGCTCAAAATTGGTTTTTCGCCATTTCCAAATATGGCGAATAATACGAGCGTTTGTTGGCAGTAGAAAATAAATTGTTCTGATCCTAGTCTCTAGTCGTAGTAGTAGTCTCTAGGAGTGCTTGATAATAATTTGTGATCAACATTAGTTTATCGCCATTTTTCAATATGGCTGCCATAGAAGTGTTTTTTGGCGGCA